TCTTTTTAAACAAGATATGGTAAAGAATGGATCCTAGAAAACAGAAGTACTGATGTTTTAAACTCTAGAGTATACTTATTATGTGGCATGTGGGAAGGAGGAAACCAATTGCTTGGAAGCAGAAGATGCACTGATACATGTGATTTGCATCATGGGCCTGTGCCCTAGATCCTTTAAGTGCCTGGAAAGGTGTCACCCCTCCATGTCTGGTCAGCCTATTGGACTTGTTGCCATTCCTTTGTTCTGCTCCTGGGCCTGCTAATTGAGGTCTTCTGCCCTACTTAAGCCAAGCTTTCTCCTCATCTGTTATACTTGAATAGGTGACCAGGATCAGGAGTGCCAGGAAAGTTGCTTTAGATGAGGGAATGGTAGTCCTTACAGCCTTTCAAACTCCTGTGTGAAAAATTTCATCATACAAAATTCCCCCACCTGCATCTAGGCTACTATTAAAAGGTACAGAATATTTCTCATCTAGTCTATCTCATCTGGTCTATCTGTAAAATTACTTCTGATCAAATGTGGGTTATCCTGTTGTAAATACTCAGAGATAGAAAAGGGGAAAAAGCGGCATCTCTTGCAACTCCCATTTTATGTTCAAGACTCAATGCTGTATTTTAATACTATGGTATCTTGTGCTAATATACTATTTTGTGTGGATTTTCCACTAGGCATTACTCCTAGTTTACCACCAACTCTGAAACTGGGCTGGGATTGATTACTAATAGACAAAGTTATAGTCAATCCTTCTCCTATCTGGTACCTTCTAGGTGAGCAGGATTTTAAGTCTCATCACCCTCGGCCAGGATAACCAATGGCCACGATGGCTAGGCACGAGGTAGTTCAACCTGGCTGGAAGGAGCCAGCCTTACCACACTTGAGCTTTTCCTGTGCTAAACTCTTCTACAAGGCTTGCATTAGCTGCCCCCTTAAAAGCAATACCTGATGTCTTCAGAAGTTAAGGAAAGCCTTCTCCAAATTCAATACAAAAGCAATTGGAACATTTCTCCTTCCTTCAGCCCTATGTCTCATACTATTTTCAGTGAACAGATGGTGTTGGAGGAATTTTCCTTAGCCTTGAACCAAATGAGCTTCACTCCAAATTCAATTTCCGGCCTAATGCTTCATTAGTGTGATGCACTTGTAATTTCCACTATCTCCGCTATCATCCTTGTTCTTTAAAGTACAAACTAAAATATCCCTACTTCATTCATCTGGCATGCACATTCATTCATCTTCTAACTAGTGCTTGCAAGTCATCTGAAGGAATTCCATGGAGATAGGCAGCTATAAACAGCATAAGGGTGCAGTATTATTTCATACCATTGCTTGTTACTTCCATTCCTCTCTTGTAGATAACGTTCTTTTTTATTCATCTAGTGCTTAACCTCTTGATGGCACCTGTCTGTCAGGGTTGAAAGATGTGAGGGCTTCTCCTATACCAGGGGTCCTCAAACTTTTTCTAAAGGGGGCCAGTTGACAGGTGCCAGCAGAGGGCGCGGGCCGCCAAGGTGGTGCCGGCGGGGGGGGGGGGGGGGGGGGGGGGGGGGGGGGGGGGCGCCGGGGGGGGGGGGGGGGGGGCGCGGGGGGGGGGGGGGGGGGGTGCACGGAGGGAGGCACCGGCTTGCTCGAAAGGAGATCGCGTCCAAAACGACCTCCTCACAAGCAAGCTGCCGCTGGTCACGTGCACAGCGAAGTGCCGGCTTGCTTGCGAGATCATTTGCTCCAATCAAGTCCAAAACGATCTCCCCACTGGGTGGCAAGCTGCCACCGGGTGGCGAGGCACAGGCTTGTTCATGAGGAGATTGTTTTCTCCGAGCTAGACAAAAGCGACCTCCTCACGAGCAAGCTGCACGCCTGCGCAGGCACCCGGCAAATGCAAAACCTGTGGAGCGGGCCAGTTAAATGGGCATGGCAGGCCGGATCCGGCCCGCGGGCCTTAGTTTGAGGACCCATGTCCTACATTGAGAAAAAAGAACTGCAGCAAGTGGTGTTTCCTCCATCCCTGTAGGCTAACTTTATTGTGCCAAATTTCCACCTATCAGGATAGAATAGTCACAATGGCAGTATATTATGGACTCCCATGATTTTGAGTAGACTATGCAAACAAGTTCCTGGTAATTAGTCATAAAGCAGTCATAAAGATCAGGACCAGGGCTTTTTTTGTCATAGAACGCACCGGAACAGCGTTCAGGCACCTTTTTTTGACAGATTTTTCCAAGTGATTGTGAATTGCCCTGTTGGGCGTAGCAGATCTGTGGCAAAAATCATTAACATAGTGCCTGCGGGCTGCTTGTGTGTCGGCGCTGATTGTCAGTGCTGATTGTGAGGGCGCTGCTCGGCTTGGGACACTGCTCGGCTTGGGAACGGTCGTGTGGTCGCACACTGAATGCTTACTGCTGGCGGCGGCCACTGTGTAAAAGTGTGACCCCAAGACGTGAGTTCTGGCACTTTTTTTTTACAAAAAAAGCACTGATCAGGACTGATTTGCATACAATCATATTTCATCACTCGGACTTATCACAGAATCATAGAACAGTAGAGCTGGAAATGGCCATGAAGGCCATTGGGTCCAACCCCCTGCTGTTGCAGGACACCATCACACTCTGTCCAGTTTCACCTTGAATGTCTCCAGTGTGGGAGAGCCAACCTCTCTAGGCAACTGCTTCCACTGTCATAGTGCTCTGACAGTGAGGAAACTTTTCCAGATATCTAGAGTCTGAACCCGGGTTGTTGCAACTTAAACTGATTATTCTGTGTCCTACACTCTTGGTATCAGTGAGAGGAGATCTTGACCTTCCCCTTTGTAGCAATCTTTGAGGTACTTATAGAGGGATATCATGTTTCCGCTCAGTCTTCTCTTCTCAAGGCTGAACATGCCCAGTTCTCTCAGTCTCTCCTCATAGGACAATGTTTCCAAACCCTGGATCATTTTTGTTGCCCTCTGGACCCTTCCTAATTTTTTTCCATCTTGCTTAAATCTCTGTCCCCAGAACTGGACACACTATTCCATATGGCACTGCTGAAAAACAAGTGTCACCCAATAATGAAAGCCTTGCATGTGCTGACTGATAAAATGATCCTGTAAATGGCTACTTAGCAGTGCTGCCTTTACATGATGAATGCCTGCATATGAATTCACCCAAACAGGTATTTTGAAGTTCTGAATTGCATAGGTAAATGAACTGACGGATAGCTTCAAAATAACTTTTTTTAAATGGGGACAGAAGAAGACAGCTTTTAGCTGTAGGGTGACTAATGCATTTTAGAAATATTAGAATGCTAAAATGCAAGCTAAGCATAATAAACCTGGCACAACACTGCCCCAATTAACTTATAAAAACTCATTATTTTTATATGAAACCAAGAGTTGAGACAATCCTTAATGTAAAAAAATCATACTGTGCATTTCAAAACTATAAGTAAATGAACTCTCCTCCAACATGAGAGACAGAAAGTTACAGGTGCAATAGAAAGCTGGAAATGCAAAACATGAAACTCACGTAAGTTATGCAGCATTCTTCTGAGAAACAAGAAATTCTAGTCCCTGCAAACTACCAGAACAGGTAAGGTTAAAAGTGGATTCACCATCCATCCCTCACCTTTTCAGAAGTGCAGGCCAATATGAAAGAGAATTCCTCTCTTGGCAAGAACAAGCTGCCATCATACCAAAATTTTGGAAGCTTCCTTTTCCTTTGTACTTTCTCTATTCAACTCTCATTCCATTGTTTAAAGTGTTCCAAAGAATGTTGAGCATAATTCATTCTTACAGCGCAGTCCAGAGCATCGGTGTGGTGCGGTGTGGGCCAATTACTCACTCTCAGCCCAATGTAACTCACAGGGTTGCTGCAATGATAACATTGAACTACCTAGACTGCTGTGGGTTCTTCACAGGAAGAAAAATGGTGTGATAGAAATACAGTGCAAGAATAATCATCCAATGGATACTTACTTTGAAGTAAGTCCCACCAAGTTCAGTATGAGCTGGAGATGGTGGAGGACCTGCCACTTTATTGCCCCCAGTTCCACATCCGTGCAGGCTCATGTTGGCCAGGGCAGATGTGATGCATGCATGCACGCACGTGTGTGTGGAGGGGCGGCTGCCGACAATGTTGCCTAAGGAAGAAAAGGCACTTATTGGTTCTAGACTGGGAGAGAAAACTAGTTTGGCAGCTCCACGATGACCCTGGGGGTGGGGAGGGTGAATCTGGGCCTCTTCTGGCAAACAAAAGAGGGTTTGATCCAGCGGATCCACAGTCGGCTTCATTCCAGCCCTGCGTTCTGAATGACCTATGCTGGGGCCTTGCACAGCTGGTACAGGCTAGTTGAGGCTCCTGTGGTAGATAAGCCCACATCCTAGGAAAGAACCTCCACCACATCCAACTCTCCCTTGGAGAGATGTCTAAGAGGGTCAGGGGTGTTCTGCATTTCTCTAAAATTGTGAGCTTAAGCTTGCAGGCTTAATTCCTAGATCCTTTGCACAGAATAGAACATATCCTAAATTTAATCATATACCGAAGACAATTAAAATGGTTTGATCAATATCCTTCTTGCTCTCTTCTCAACTACAGAAGCATAAACACAGATCAGGTGACATTATACCATTATTTGAAAAGATGTATGTCTCTCACAGACATTATTCTTCCCCCTCCTCCAAAGGATACATCGTCAGAAGAAAGAGGAGAATTACCAGGAAATATTTTTTATTGTACAATATTCAAATTTCTTCTTCAAAAGACAGGAGGGGCTACAACAAACAACAACAGTGGCATTTCTGATAATGAAGAATACACTATTTCACAGGAACATAGCTATCAGATGAAAATACATTAGTATTTGTTGCTCCCCCATGAAAAAAAGGATTTTCAGGGGAAAGTGGGTAAGTATGTCAAGTCTAAATAATTGCACATTGAAAGTTACAGGGACAGTTACTGTTACAGTGCACAACATGATCGTTCTTGTCCCCACCGCCCCCCACCCCAATCGCTGGGTAACCATTTTTCTCTACAAAAGCAAGTCATATTATCTTCAGCAGAGGTCTATGACTCAATTGAAGAACTAGAGTGTTTGGAAATGCGCAAAGGATCTGGTGTTTTGCCAAAGAAATTTCTCTGTGTAGCTAGCTGACGCCACCAGTTTAATGTTAAGCCTATTTGTTACAAAAGATAGATAGATATATTCCCTCAGTCAGTGAGCATATTCAGCATCCCTTGGCAAAACGTTGGTGGGAGATTATGAATGCAACGGCCAAGAGGTAAAGGCTGATATACTGTACTATATACTGCTAATAATTAAGAGGGCAAACAGCTGGGTAAGAGAATCTATGGTTTATGCACAGGTATGAATTCTGGGAATTTGCTTGCTCCTAGCAAGTTATTCCCAGTTCTCAAGGATGAAAAAGGAACAGATATGCAAGTTAACTGCTATTTAACAGGGAAAAATACAAACGATTTCAAGTCTGGCAATGTTTCTTTAACATAGATGAACATTTCCAGATAAAGTAAACTTTTTCTCTGGGCACTGAGGTGAAGTTACTCATTCTGGTTTAATCCATACACAGTAAGTTCCATTTCTCATACAGTGCAATAAGGCGTTGAGTAATAAGAGTTTACCGGTTTGATGGGGGCCATCTTTCTAGGCATTATGAAGACATCAGCTCAGCAAAACATTCCCCTTTTAAGCTTTTCTTAAAATGAGTATGCAGTTGAAGTTGCTGAAATGTATGTTTAGACTTTCATATTTATTCCACTCCCTTCACAAAAAATAGATATTATCTCAGAAAATGGGGAATAATAGTATTTTTTCTAAGGTGTCTGATTACAATTGGAAAATCAGTTCTCAGGAAACTGCAGCACAAAATATTGATTTATCTAGATCTTATGGCAATCTCCTGCAGCAACATCATTTTAACATTTCAGCTTATACTTCCCTTCCTCTTATGTGAATCACTGACACAGCTAAGGGTGGAAAAACTGGACACTTGATTCTTCAGGGACTTACACTTTAAGATTATACACAAGCGACACTGGCCTCCTGATAGTTATCCATGGGAAACAGTGAGAAATCCTCCCATTCCTTAGCACAATATTTTCAGTAAGGATATTGCCATCTAATTGTAGGAAGCTGAGCAGTCCTGCTTTATTAGCCTACATGAACCAATGTCTGCCATATAATTTCTCTGGTTTTCAGGCAATGAACAATGATTTTATTTTACAAAGCTACATTTTCCCTAACAATTTAAAGTTAATTATGCTAATGATGAAACCCTTCACAATGAACTGAGTAGCAACTTGAAATGAACCTAGTTTACAAAATCCCCTTCCTCTTTACAATTTTGGAGTCTGACATGATAACGTTTCATTTTTAAAACTAGTGAGGGGGTTTTTTCTTACAACTTTCGGTCACTGCTCATGCCTACCACCTTGAATTACAAGATCCCGTTCCAAGGCCCCTGTAGACTGCTTGCTATTGCTGAAATGAGTTCAATTCATGTTCAGCACCGGTTCTCAGATCAAGCTGATGCTTCATTAACATGACTATTTTTGGAAGCCAATCCTCACCAGCCCAAAAAGGTACAGGAGGTGGGGGAGCCTCTATATTCTAAAATTTGGGAAGACGACCACAGCAGCCAGTGCACTCCAAGTATCCTGGTTACCAATTTAACTTACCTCTGTCTTCGCACAAGGCATAAGATGTGACATGTCAGTTTGCTTTTACAGTTACGGATTTTTGTATTTTTCCAGGTACAAAAACCTATTCAAAAGATAACTGGGAGATAATATTCACACATCTAAATAACTCCAAAGGGATCAACAAACAGTTGTAGAAAACACTCCCAAAATTCTACTGACTTCCTCAACCTTATTGCGATGCTGCTGGGGAAAGAAAAAACAGTTTTTTTCTTACTGGCAAAGCTGTCTGTGAGCCAGCCTTCACAGTGACCATTCAGAAGACAAAACTAGCCTACAGGGATGGTTTACAAGGACTGAGAATAAGTTACTACTGTTTGCACATGTTCTGTTGTCACTACACTCACTGTAACTCTTAGCCATACACTGTATATTAGCATTTCAGCAGAGAAAAGCACATTGAACTCTACAAGTGAATCAAATTAGGAGTGAACTTTCTATGCCAGATGTTTCATGGCACTTAAAAGCCTTTTCTGTGTTTGTTCCACCGGCTATAAACTTGTAGCTGAGCATCCTCCGCTGTTCCTGGTAAGCCCCAAGGAAGAATTCTGCTCCAAAAAAGAGGCTGGCCATCTTGAGAAAACAGCATTCACAGAGTCAGGCAGCTGGCATTTTGCAGCAAGAGTCACAGAAGGGAGTGTATCCATTTGGTGCACAATTTGGTGTTTGTTATCTTGTTATCCTGGCAAAGTCAATGGGAGGCAAAGCCAGTCGCAAGGCCACAACCCACTACTGGTGTCATGTCCCATATCTGAAGAACAAGGCACAGAGATAAAACAATCCCCTGTAGCAGTAGCCTTCCACCTTTTCAAACCCATCACCTACATTTAAGCCATCTTGAGATCAGTTTTGGATAAAGAAGGGATCGGAGTATTTTAAATAAATAAATTATCCCAAATGTGCATTTGGGGATTGGTTTTTTGACGTTCCATCTTCTATTTGTACATTAGAAATACCATGGTGGTCATTGAATAGAGGCTGTCAACCCATGAGTTAAAGACCTATCATGAATATTCATTACAACTTATTTTAATGTATTTCTATCCCTGCTTTCAGGTATTTACCTATACAACTAAATTAAATACAAGCTCCTGAAGCCCTCCCCCCAAATAATTAAATGACAATTCATTAAAACAGAATGTGATAGAAAAATAGCAAATGCCAATCCAGAATTCAACAGAATATTAAAGGATAGTGGCACATTCATTCTGCATAAAAGCTTGATCCTATGCACTGTTTGAAAATTCCTATAACTCCCCAAATTCCCTAGCCAGCAACACTGGCTGTAAATAGTAAGATTTGTAGGATTTTTTCCCTGTTTATTCATGCATGGGGCTGAACCCTTCATCAGTTATTTCACCTTAGTATTTCGTACCATACACTGCTTATTACAAGCCTGTTAATCAGAACACAGCAGTCTACATCGGATTAAATTCAACAAGTAGGGAGGATGAGTCAGAAAACGCTATTTAACTAATCCTTCCACAACTATAGTTAACCAAAAAAGAGTGCAAAAGGATTATCTTTATGCTTTAGTTATGATTGTTCCACACAGCAAACCATTAAAAACACTCTTGGAAAATGCTCTGGATCTTATTGAATAAATAGCAAACACTTAATAGAAGTTCATTCTCTCTTTAAAAATACTGGAATGATTTCCCATGTTCAGAGAAAAATTCTAAAAAGTAACCTTTGCTTTTTTAAAACACCCCCCCCCCCCACAGTAACTGCCGAGCAAACATGGTCAAAATTCACGGAGGAGAGGCTGACTGATGGCTTTAGATCATGACAGCGAAGAAGCAGGATTTCAACATTTAAGAAGTGGTTTATGATGAATTATCAGATGAATTATCAAAGGCAAACAGATTACAGCTATCTAAATCATGGCTTGTTTGTGAGCTTTTCAAAGGTCATCTGATTCAAAGTTTTTGAGAGAGTGTTCATTTAAGTGATATTTGCTCTGTTTCAACAAGTTTATACCTCTGTTCTTAAAAACACAATAGTTGCACTGTAGGGGAGAGCAGAATCTTCTTCACTGCAGAATCCCTGACATGAATTTGATTATCCCTGAAATGGAGACTAGGTGCAGACTGCAGAGCTACAACATCAAGCCAATTTTTGTTTTGCTTTCCTTCTTTTTCCCATTGGCTGCTTTTCATTTCATCCAACATGACGAAGTCTCCTAGAGTTCAAGGAAGTTTGCTCCCAATTCTGTGGCATTTTGATCTCAATGAAGTAATGTCCAACTGTGAATGTTGCCGTTTTTCTAATGGACCAATATGACTTCTTTTGCTTTTTGTACATTTCAGAAACATTATGAAAACTCACTCTTATTTTAATTTACCATGGATGTTAAATCTCTACATTTTTTTAAAACAGCACTAGTAGGAATGCAGGATGCTGACAGATGGAATCCATCAGTGATGGTTTAAAAAAGAGCTGATGGAGTATTATGCCATGCTGTTAGAGACAGGATAGCCCAGCAGCTCTAGCAGTCCAAGACATTGCAGCTACTGTATGGTGGTACAGTTTGTCCAAACTGTGCAAGTTAATCTTGAGTTCTACAATATATTCTTATTTTCCCTTTGTCCCTCTGAATTTGTTCTGTCTACTAAATTTGGATTTCAGAAGTTGCATGTACTCATTGCTAAATCATTAGAACTTCTGAAACATGACAGAAGAAAGGAAAAGATATTACCTTTACTACACGATCACTTCCACACGTCACCATAAGTCCTCTTGAGATGTCCATAGACATATGGGAAATGTTGTGTTTTCCTTCATGAAATGTTGCCAGAGAAGTTCGACTTGGAAGGGGAAGGGGAAAGTGTGGTTAAAGAAAAGCTACTTGATAGCTGATATTCTAGCCAGGTGCTAAAACTTTCCATCCAGAAAAAAAATCAGGAAAATATGACTTCTGAAAAGCTAGAATGGCAAGCCATTATCTGAACTACCTTTGAAGAACTCACTAGTTCATTAAAGTTCTAACTGGTTCCAAGTATGCAAGAGTTAAATATTCAGATCTTTAGAAATGTCCAGGCCTGTGCAAATCTTTGCATATAGGGAAAGTACAACTGCATGCCTCTCCCTAACTGAAGTCTCTACAGTCATAGTCATGGGCTAAGATATTTAAAAAACTGATGTTGCAGGGCAGGGATGGGGATCTCTGATGAACAGGCTGGATGTTACCCACCTGGCTTGCAAATTTCTTCTGCTGTTTTCAGTGATCAGAGGGTATTTAAAGGCATTTCATCTATAAATTTCCTGCTATTAAATGCCTTGCACAGAACTGAGTTGTGCTGCATAGGCATAAAAACTCTCCTGAATGGGCATGCCTAGAATTTTAGTTGTGGCTTGTACACTTGTCAGAGAAAGTCTGAATTGCTATGTATTATACTTGGTCCCAACACTTTGCTTTGGCCCTGCCTGCTCTGCCTTTGAGCCCATTCCCATTCTTAGTGCTACTCAGTGCTAGAAGGCAGTCCCAAAGAACTTTTCCAACTTTGAAGGAAAAATGAAAAGGGCTGCCATCTCTGCTGTAGTGAGTGTCTTGAGCAAATGATGTCCAGGTGGTTAATGTGCTAGCTAGCACAGAACATTTCTAAAAAAAAAAAATGTCAACTGTAGTTTCCATGAACTGATTTAGTATGGAATCTAACCTATTTTGTGAGTCAGCAGAATGTTCCAGTGTAAAACTAGCCTTCAACTGAGAGTACTCACCAGGGTAATTATGGCGACATCCTTGCTCTGGCAAGTGAATGTGATAATATGATAATATGATAATTACTAGGCTCAGGGGAATTTTAGCATTTTACTGCTGTTTTTGATGATCAGCTCAAATTTCACAGGAATGGAGTTACAGGAAGCTGAGCTGGTCACATCCCAGGAGGATGAGTACCTTTGGTTTAGGGTCGTATTCTCCCCAGCATACCCTAGAGCCAAAGGTGGGAAGGGTCATCTGTTTTGTCTTTTTCTGCTATCTGCTTCTCGCTCCCACCCCTGCCCCACCCTTCTTCCTTACCCAGTCGGCTGCTGGGAGAAAGGAAAGAATGTTCCCACCACAGAACTGAAGTGGATGCTTACAAAGAGCTTTCAAGGCTGCTGGCGGCCTACCCCTGTTGTAAGGAGAACACTTGTTCAGCCATCATCTTATCAATACTACCCTATTAGAACTGGGGCAATGGAAGGTGGAGCTTGATCCTCAGCAAGGGCTACAGTGGTCCCAAGAGAAGCACTTTTAGTTCTTACATTTAAATCCACTAGCCTTAAACAGCTTTATTAATCCTGGAATGCATAAACTATATGGCAAGGGACTAAGCCGCCCCGAGGCTTCGGTGAATGGGGCGGCATAAAAATGTTTTAATAAACAAATAAATAAATAATAAATAAATGTGGCACATAAAGAAAAAGAAATAAGAGAGGAAAAAACCAAAAATGGATGCTAAATGCTTCTCACTTTTACTTAATGAGATTCATCATTCATACCAGTCATATTACTTTGCAACATAATTTGGATTTCTAATGAAAAGCTAAAGATTTCATTTCAGCTATCATTTGTTAAACACTTTGCCATGTTTTTAACCTATGCATGTTTACCCAGAAGTAAGCTCTGCTTGTGGATTCATCAGCTCTGAAAGTATTGTTTGTGTCCAGATGATCATGGGGTGGGGAATACAGTGGCTTCCTTCCCCCGTGTGCTGCATGATTCCTTTAAGAGAGGTCTGCAACAGGGCTGGCTTCAAAATTACCCAGAACCCGTGGCTTGTCGTAGGGTTCTGGGGTGGTTTGGAAGCTAGCCTCCATTGTATATCTCACTGGAAACCACAGTGAGAATTAGTAATTAGGGAAATGACATGGCACACACCTGGCACATTGGAAGCATGGAAAAGAAGCCACTTGGTGTCTTTCCTCCCAGTGATCATCCTAACCTGACCACTGTAGTCTTTGAAGTACATGCTGAAGAGCCAACACAGTTGGTAATTGGGTACAGCTGGACATTAGGCAAACGTCTATAACAAGGATACAGCAGCTTTCTTTCCCTCCATGTCTCTTTTGAACAGAGACCTTTAATCATTTTTTTAAATGAAACTTTTTTTTGGCTTATGAAAATGTTAAAGCTCTGACAATCCAAGTAAGTAAATGCTGTATCTTGCCAAATTGTGGATTTCTCACTAGGCATTAAAAGCAAAAACAGCATTTGCTTGTGATAGCATGACTTGATCAGATGACTTGCCCTGGAGATTGGAGGAAGACTCCAAGAGTCTTCAGTGAAAAAGCTAACATGCCAAAAATCTGATTTCTCATCATAGGTTTTGATTAAGAAACAAACCCCACTGTCACTTTTCCAAACTCAAAGGGAAGAGAATAGCAGTGATCCAAGTGTCATCTGAAAAGAAGTCTTTAATCTATGAAAAGATCATGCTGCCAACGCTTTTAGTCTGTAAGGTACCAATGTGCTTGAAAAGCTGGTCATTCTGTCTTCACTTTGTAACAACATTTCTTAGAAAATTAAAGTACTGATCTTTCTGGCTGAAATCCACACTTTCTGCTTGCACAGAAGACATTTTGTAGTGGAGATCCTCAACACCAGGAGATGGTTTCTAAAGCTACTTACTCTTCGTCTTTGATTGAATCAAAACAGGAGTCACAGACCCGGACCTGGAATTCAAAGCCCATTATGGGGTAGCTGGAACGTTTTGTGCTGCATTTGCCACATACTGCCTGGCCACATTTCCTGCAGTGATGCTGGAGAAGGAGTCAAGAAAGAGAAACAATCAGAAAAATGTGAATTATTAAACCAAGCAAAATATAAGAAAAGGAGTCACCAAATTCCCACAGTGCTCTCAGTTACTACTTGAGGAAATTTTTCCCCACCACAGAAGAGATATTTCTTTCCCTGGTCTTCATTTAATTAGCCCCCCAAAAACAGGCATCCAGAGAAACATTTTGAATGAAGATCTTGAGTAATGAACAGCTTCATATGGGAGCAGATAAACAAGCTGGCTCAGAATTGACACAGAGCTTTGAGCCATGCCCAGAAACAGGCAAGGATCCAGTGAAGAGCTATTTTATTTCCCTATATGTGTTTGGGGGCAGGAGAGAAAAACAGGGAACAACTGGTACAAGTACAATGATAAAAAATAATTGTTACTCATTTCACTGCTTTCCATAAGTAACACCTGGCACAAAAACTCATTTAACATTTATATGCAACCTTATCTGTTAAAAGGCCATCAAGAGGTGTAACACAATGTGAACATTAACATGACAAAGCAATGAAAACAAGAACAGCAAACACATTAAAGCACATGCTTTAAAAGACTGCATTGAAAAGATATTCCTTCGCACCCTTTCCAAAGGTCAAGAAAGTGGCCACAATTCATGCAGGAGTCAATTTATAGTATGGAGGAACAACACAAGAGAAAGCCTTTTTGCATGTGCTGGACAAACAGGACTCTGGGTAATGACATCCTCCAAAGGGCTTCTCCTGCGAAAGTTAATACCCAGGCAAGTTCACAATGAGCCAGGCAGTCCCCCAGAGAGCTCGCTCGCTCCTACACTGTGTTAAGCTTTAAAGGCAAAAACCAACAGCTTGAATTGTGCTGAAAAAGCAACTGGCAACCAGTGCAGGTCAAGGAAAATGTATGAAGTTGGGCCCAGCTGCCACATTTTGCACCAATGGAAGCTTTCAAAAACTCCCCAGGGGTAGCCCAGCATAAAGCACATTGCAACAGATTAAATGTGATATCCAAAATGTGGATAACTTGTTACCAATTCAGGCCATTTCATTAAGGGCCACAGCTGGTACTCCATAAATAACTGTATATTTCTTGCACTGCCACCACCTGAAGTTCCAGGCCTAGCATAGGGTCTAGGTGCACTCCCACGCTACAACCTTGATATTTCAAGGGAAGCATAAGTCCTTCCACAACAGAGTGGATCCTAATCTCTGAATCAGGCTTTTCCCGAGCAACAGGACTTCTGTTTTGGCTGAGTTTGACCTCAGCGGCACACCCTCACCTGCCTCAGCCCCAGAGTCTTTGTGTCCCACATCTGCTTTATGTTCCAGAAGAAAGGCTGCTCACATTTCTGACAGGAGTCACTTTCCATCCACTGAGGTGCCTGGAAACAGAAAAGCCAACAGAAGAATTTGAACATATCATTGCAAAAGAAAGCAGGATAAAACCTTCCCCAAACCCTGTTAATTTTACTGGGATGAAAGAGTCTGCTTTGCTGTTCTGCCTTTGATTTGCAGAAGCAACAAAATTAGAAATACATCAAGGTCTATGGATGAAAGATAGAGGCTGTTAAGGCCATGTCCCCGAAATTCAAGTGTGCCACGTAAGATCTGCTGCCCTTCTGACGTAATTAGACCAATTTAGAGTCAAGCTGCGTACATAAGGTATTGTTGAGAATGTGGCTGTTTCCAGGACCTGTGCTTGCATCCCACACTTTGCCCTTCACTGTGCCATTTTTTATTACTACCAAGTTAATGAGGAAGGCTTCTTTGCCGCATCTGAATGATTAGCCACAGAAGTTTAAAAAGTCCCCTGGTTTTAGCATTTGGGTGATTAAGAAGAGATACCAAGTAATTGGAAAAGATGACGCTTTCAACAGTCATATAACTATGCCTTCCGTTTTGCAGTCATAATCTGACATTAAACATGTCCTGTCCTCCTTTCTGAGCACTACAGATGTCATTAAAATCAATTAATTTATGATGGCCTGAGAGCAACTTCTGTATATGCCGTTGCTTCTATTCCTGTCCACTCTGCAAATGGGGCTACTTGGAAAATCATGGAAATGCTGGAATGTTCCCTAAGTCTGTATCTAAATGTAGGCACAAGTATTTCAGCCTACTCAAAAGGCTTTTTAAGACAGAGGACACTAGCAAGTACTGTCTGAAAGTCATTTTATGGTGCGGTGTGTCATAACTATTCCATCTTGAGTTAAGGAAGAACCATTTTAGCCTTCAAGATGGCTCAAAGTACACTGAAAATGTGAAGGCAGCACCAGAACACAAGCTCTGTTAGGTCATTTCCCAGTATCAAGATTTCTGAAACAAAGATTCCCTGTTATGGGGAACTAAAGTACAGAGAGCATGTCTGTATATAAATGCATAGCCATGAGCAGTAGCTTGATAATTTTTTTTACATTTGTATCTCACCTTTTTACCCATATGTCCCCAATACATCTTAACATTGATTGATTGATATTCTGACTTTTTCCTCAAAAGGGCTCAAGGCAGCTTACATCTCCTCCTCCATCTTACCCCCACAACAACCCTGTGAGGTAGGTTGGGCTGAGAGTCTGTGACTGGCCCAAAGTCACCCAGTTGGCTCCATGGCTGAGCGGGGACTAGAACCCAGATCGTATGAGTCCGAGTCCCATGCTATTAACCACTACACCACACTGGCTCTCCATTGAGCTCAAGCCAGCAACAGTCAAACTGGTATGTATGTCTATATATACATACTCATATTCTTCAGCTCATTAAATGCTCCCAATATGAAATCTGGAATCCCAGAATCATGCAAAAGGATTTTAAATATAAAGTTATTTCCAAAGTTTTAGGGATTAGAAAAGGAGGTAATTTGGTCTGTGCGTGGTATCCGTTCCATTGGCAGCGCAATCTATGGCCCTTCTTTCAGTCTGTGTTTTTTCTATGAATACTTTCCAATACCCTCTTTTAGCTAATTGACAACATCGACTTAGTTAACCAGGTGCTCAGAAACTAACAATACAAATGTCAGAGTAACACTAATATTATGGCTAAGGGACATTCATTTCTTATCTTCATGCTTGGGGAAAACCGATGAAGTGGGGCAGGAAATGTGATGCACCATGGATTCTACCCACACAACCCTCGAGGGCCCCATGGATATCAGTGGGTTGTAATTTGTTTAATGTCAATATATTTTCTGGATGAACTCTACCAATTGCCATCTCTATTCCCCTGAATTTTTAAATTTTAGATATACAAGGCTTCTCTTATGACCCAGAAACATTCTTAGGAAGTAAAGGTGGGGTTGAGGTGGGTTGCCTGGATGCCAGAACATCACTTACAAATGCTCCCAGCTCTCCCAAGCTCCAAAAATGAAGGGACAGATCCACCTGCTAGTGCCTTGTTAAGGGAGGAGCCTGATGATGATGTTAATGGGGTGACTGATGGTGTGCTGGGTGTGACCCAATGGCTAGTGAGGAAGAGATAAGTGTTGTGGCGAGCAATGGAATGGGCTAGAGAAACCTGTAGGACAACGCAAATGGACTGCAGCAGAGAGACACAGCAGGGAAGAAAAGGGTGTGTGTGCAAACTGGAGAGTAATTTTTTTCAGTACACAAATTGTGTTTAGGAGGCAGAAAAAGTGTTGAAGGGAGTAAAGCTTAATGGTAAAACTGTGGGCTCAAACAAATAGGGTAATGCTTTGAGGGTCAGATCACATATTTGCTATTCACAACCTGCTATTCACATCGCAGTGGGTGCAGCTGGCTGTTTTTAATATTCAGACTACTACTGCAGCTTGTAGTTTTGCTTCCCCTGGCAAGGGAAGGCTGTCCAAAAGGTTAATAACCCTTGCATAATCCATGAATTGTTTTAGGGTTATCCAAGGTTTGTTTAGCCCTCAAACAACCCACAGCCCACCAGGCTCAGATGACATGACAAACCACAGTTGCAGCCTGGCACATGCTGCAACCCACCCAATAAGCCACGGTGGGCTGCAAGGATTGTGTGAATGCAGTCAGCATCTTTGGACAAGTAACAATTCGTACCTCTTCTCTGCTAATATCCATATTCCAAACTGTGATCCCTCCATCAGCTGAACAAGAAACCAGTTGTCTTGTGAGCTGCAGGTAGCAAAGGGCCTGTACTTTGTCACTGTAAAAAGAGAAAAGTAGAAAAAAAGATAGCTCCATTTCAGTATTTTAACTGAGAAGCTAAAAATATACTATCCTGACCATGTTTCACATATAGCACTTGAAAGAATGGGTCATTAAAATTTAAATTCACTGGAACATTTAGATTCATTTCTGAGAACCTTGCCCAATGTCACCTGATCTTAGAATTTTTGTTTATCTGTTTTAGAATTGCTATTCATTGTCATGAAACAGCATTAAAGAGGCATAAGCTACTTCCTGTTCAAGGACTTGGGCTGTCCTCCCTATTTGATTTTGTGACCAATTAAGAAAGGGCAGTTGCCAAAACAGAATTTGGGGAGTGAACGTTTACCATCCATGTTAATTTCACCTAATTGATCTCAACAGTCCAACAGCCATTTGGTTGCATCTTTGCAATTTTTGATGCAAAATACTTTTGAGCAGTTTTTCCATTTTTGGAAAATGCTGATTTGAATCCAAGCAAGATCACTGTATCATACTCAAGGCAATCAGTATGTTCAAAATGGCATCCAATTCAGCCACCAGTCCCTGAATAGAACCCAGTGCCCTTCCAACTAAGGTAGAACATTATCTCTTCCTCTATGTCACTGTAAGCTTTTACATGAAAGGAGGCCATTTCTAAAGCCTCTCAGCATGACTGTACTGGTTACACAGACATATAACTTCAATCTTTGTAGCAGACTAACTGTTATCTGTATCTTGCAAAAATGAAGTATTTTATAGATGTTGATAAAGTGCCTTGTGAAAAGAAAGAGAAGGATAATTTTCATTGCAGCTGGACACTGGCATCACATTATCTTGATGGAAGGCACAAATACAAGAGCAGCTATTGATAGTGGAGCATTAACAAGGAAGAAGTAAACTATTGTGCCATAGCTCTTACCAGCACATGTTTTGTTGGTTTGCAATTCTACCACAGCTCCCTGGAGTACTGGAAAATTGACAAGCTGTCAAAGTGCTAAAGAAAGGTCTGAAACTTACCACTATTGGGGGGAATGAATGTCAGTATGTCAAATGTCATGGGTAAATCTACTGCATTTGTGTCAACTTGCAATGGAAGCAAACTAAAAAGCAATATGGTCTGCAGTAAATCTGATGTATAGCTGCCTAAAACTAGGAGACAAACATTATCTAGAGCTCCAAAGATGATTTTTTAACCTCCAGAATCACCTGGTTTTAGGAAAATGTTCAGAGGACATATACTCAATCATGCATTTAGGAGAAGCATGGGACCAAATTCTTTGGAAAAGGAGCCTACCTGCTTGAGGGGTGGAGGGAGACAACAAAACAAAATCCCTCATCAATCTGTTAAATAGCAGCAAGGATTGAACCAGCAACAACAACAACTGGAAAAATTGAGCATTACATACTGATGGCCTTGTAGTAGCAGTGTCCGGCCTCTCCTTCCACCAATATCCCACATGATTATGCTGTTATCAGATGCTCCAGAGAAAAGTAGCCGCTGGACAGGATCCCACCACAGGGAAGCAATACTTCCTACGTTGAGGGCAAAAAATGTATTTTTTCCATTAAGTGCAGGGAAGCTGCTGGATGAATCTGAAGGGCAATATATTTAACATTGCAGTTTACATTTTTCTCATTTAGAGAGATCCATACATGATAGGAAAATGAGAAGACAGGAATATGGTGCTGGTCTGGCTGCACTATACCAATTCTGACTTGAAGGTAAAATATTGCAAAATAAGTCTGCCTTCTACTGAGTCAAACCATCTAGCCCAGTATTTTCAGCACAGACTGTCAGCAGCTCTCCAGCCTTACAGGGAAAAGTTTTCCCCTAAACCTTCTTGGAGATCCCAGAGATTGAACCAGGGACCTTCATTCATCAAGAGCCAATTTCTCATCAACTGACGAAAAGAAAATGAAAAGCTCTGGTTGGATGCATTTGTCTCTTGAACTTTGGACTCAACCCTACAACCCAGCCTTCATTGTAGCAAAGTGAGGGCAGAGAAGTAATTTTAGGTAAAGACATCTATATGCTCTTCAGAACTTTCAATTTTCTCCAGTTGCTAAATGAAATTTGCTGGTTTGCAGTTAAGAGTACTGATTTAGGATAAGGGAAACTCAGGCTCTAATCCTCACTTACCTTTTGTGAAACTGCTTTACAAAATGGTAATGGTAAAAACAGAGAGGGGAATCAAGTATACCATCTTTACCTACTTGGAAGAGGTATAAGATATAAATAAGCATAAATGGGTTTCCTCCACCTAAACATCAATCAGGTGAAGATATAATGCTTCCAAAATATTAAACAGTGCAATAAGTAATCATGAAAGGAAGCCTTTTTGATAAGCAATGAAAAAAATGAGATTATAAAAACAGGGACCTCAAAACATTGCCAGAAATTTAATCAGATTATTTAAGATAAGTCTCACCCTCTCTGCCCACAGTTACCTGGTTATGGTTTCAAATGAATTAACTTGCTTCCTACCATGATCTCTGAAATATGCTTTCAGTGATTGCTGTTTTATCAGCTGATCTGAGCCAGCTGTGCATTCTGTGTTTACTTAATTGTCCCTATTTGTACAACAGTGCCCCAATGCTGACGGTTTCTACCTAATTCTTATTGTCCGGCATGTGGTGTTTACCATAAAGGTACATAGAAACAGGAGATTTTCTCAGGACCACAGCTGAATTATTCAGTGCTGGTTGTCCTGTTTCTTGGTGTGTACAGCTGTGCTCTGGCAGGGACATTTATCACAGTTAGCCTTCCAAGTAAGGAGAGATCTGACAACTTTGGTACACATGCATACATTACTCTAATTTAGACACAGGTCTAAAGGCCTGAGATCATTTAATGGCCATGACTAAGACAGCTTGGCCCCAAGCAGTGTTAGGGTGGGGAGACCACTTGTGAATGGTAAATAGGCCACTACTAAGAAAAGCCAATGGCCTATCTATCCCAGAAGTCGACAATCAGTGAAATAAGCCCCTGCCACTCATGTTCCCCAGCAACTAGAAATTTGCCACTTGGGCAGTATACAAATGTACAGAACTATACTGTATAGCTCCAATGCTGGAGGAAATATACAGCCATCATGACTAGCAGGCATTGATAGTCTGTGATGAAATCTTGTTAGTCTTGTAAAGCAACCCATGTTGGTGGCCCTTATCAAGGTACCTTGTGCTAGCAAATTCCACAGTGTAGCTATGTGCTGTGAGTTTCTTTGAGAAGAAGGAGGGCGTAGTAACACCAGCTGATTATAAGTAATAAGAACAGCACAGGGCTGTTGCAGCACATGATACCAGGAATCAGCAACTGAGTGACATTTCTCCTGTTGGTTCTGCCACTGTTTTCTTCCATTACTTGCAAGTTCAGAAGAAAGGTGGAAAGAGACCCACATCACAGTAAGCTATGTACCCCTGCACCTGGCAGTAAACATTATTCGTATCAGATGAATAAAAAAGGAGATAATAGAGAAGTAGGAAACAATGATCTTAATAAGTCCCTTCAAATCCTTCTCCTGTATTCTATGCCTGTCTTGAGAAGCAATATTCCTAGAAAATGAAACAGATGTTTTTGTCCTTGCTTAGCACATAATAATACAGCATACCTTCAGGCACATTCAATGCAATAAATACATTGCATAGTGAATTAGTAGCTCTCTTGCCATGGAACAAGGTAGAGCTTAAACATTTGAAAAGCTGCCACCTAGTGTTGAAGTTATGAATACACCAAGGTTTGAAGATGTGGTAATGCTTACTCTGAGGTTTTTTGAAAAACCCAGTACACCACCATGCCACCCAGCAACAAGCTCTATGTGAATTGCCATCTTGTGCCTAGTCATGTGAGTAAACATAACTACTAGCAGCCTTTGGTCCATCTAATCCAGGTTTCCTTCACCTACTGCCAGTCAGGTATGCTAGACCACAGCCCTCGTCAATTCTAGCCTGCATGGCTAGTTCTGCTGTGATGGGAAGTGGCTCTCTAAAGGTGACTTCTGCAAATCATGCCTGTGGGTCCCTTCCTTAGCACCTGTGATGGCCTCTGCTTTTTGCACGTATGGGTTTAAAAAAAAGAAATGTATTTTTAAACAGGTGAACAGGCATGCTGCAAAGTGAAACAGTGACATCCTCATTTCTCCAGAATGTCTTTGGCCCACATGGTGTGTAGTTGCAGCTTTGCCAATGCTTCACCGCGAAGAGCACCTGGTTGTCCTACTAGCAATGTACAAAACAAAAAAGGAAAAAAGTGTCGGGGGGGGGGGAGAGAGAGAGAGAAAGAGAGAGAGAGTTGGGAGAGAAGGAGGTGCATTTGTATACACGCATGGGTCAGTGTGGTGATTCTAGGAGGGGGAAAGAGACTGGGAGAACTGCAAAGTAACTGGATGCTTAGGTGGATGAGCTATGCAGAGAAGGCAAACTGGGAAGGAACTGACTTTGCTAGCAGAGACCCAATACAGAGGTATGACATGGATTGGCAGAAGGGAAATGAGTGGAAATAATTGAACAGGAACTGACTTTTGAATTTTGGATCATAAATGTGAGATGATCCCTATTTATTTAGGGGCATCTCTCTCATCAGATGATTTTCCCTATATATGGCTACTCAGCCTTTAAAATCCTTGGAAGTCATTCTCTGCGTGGCCCCAACAAAGTGGGCACTTCCCAGAGAGGTTTACCTGGCATCCTATTTCTGTTTCTTCAGGCCAGATGAAGTCCCTTTCATTTACTGAGGACTTTTAAAAATTTGTGCTTTTTAAAAGCTAGTTTCTCTAGTATATGGTTCATGTTATTGTATGAAAAAATAAACATCATGTTGCTGTTTTACTGTTTTGCATTTTAACACTGTATTTGATTGTTTATTAAATCTTTCTGAACCACCCACAGATCATGTGTTATTTGCTTGTCCATATATAGTAAATAAATAAAATTTGATGAAAATTAATTAACTGTTGAGAAACATATTTTCTCAATTATTGTGATACTAGGCACAATGAATTGGCTCATCTTCTGTGAAATGGGCTTTCTGCTAAGAACAGAACACAATCTGTTTAAAGTAGTGTTTTTGTTTTGAGAGAATTGGTTCCCCTTCTGCTTTGTACTCAGGCTCCTGGGCACTTTACTTGTCCTTCCCACCTTCACCAGCCTTGTATTCTGTGAAAAGGGTGCTTTGTGACCAGCCACACTCACCATGGCAGCCATTTTGCAAATGGTCACATCCCTTCTGGCAGCCATATTATGAACATTTCTCAAATCTCTAAATATTACTGTGGGGACAAAAAGGTTGGTGACTACCACTTTAAGGGTGTAGGTAGATGTTTTTTTCTGGCTCAAGTATCTAAGGTCCTTTAACAAGTAAGGGCCTGGTACCTTATGCATGAAAGCATATCCTGCAACTTTCCTAGACAGTGTATAAAGGAAGAGCATAGCCCCAGCACAAGGCAATCTACAACATTATCCATGTAAACTACTCAGAATTCAGTCTCACAGACTGAATAAACTGTGCTACTGAAGGACTGAACAGGTGACAGACCTGGTGACAGAAACAGGATGAGAAGACAAGTTTAATTGAGAAAAACCTGAGTAGACCTCTAGTCTCAGAATATTATGAAGATCCAGCTGTATCTGTTTATGCGGTGCAACAGTTACAAACAAAAAGGTTTGTGACTCAAGTAATTAGAAAGAAATTAATAAACAAAAATTACCTTCATGACCCTTGAGAGTTGTGATCACTGAACATGTGCTCTGTTCAAGCTTCAGCAGAGTGATCTGTCCAGAGTAATCACCAATGAAGGCATGTTGTGTCTCAAAGTCATATCTTAGCACAGCCAAGTCAAGGAGTAGCTACCAATATACCAAGTTTCAAGCAGCACAAAAACAAGGGCTGGGCATGAAAAGCAGTCAACTTCGCCATTTGTCCTGAAATTAGTGTTTGGACGATGTGATAGAAGCGCTGCCTATCTAGATAGCCAAAGACACCTGCTGCTGCTTTATTTCAAGCAAAGAAAAAGAGTCTCATGCTCCTTCACTAAGAAGTCATTAAAAACCATGGCAATGTCAGAAGAAGTCTCCAAAACCTAAGAAGGATGCGAGTGGTTTGTCTTTGGAAATCTCTTGATCCTGTAAAACCCAATTGGATGGGCTGGAAGAAAGCAAGCAAGTATAATATCATGGCAGCATGAGAAGCACTAATTTTATCTCCAGGGCACTGGCAACAAGCCAGTGTAAGCAAAAGCAGAAGGTCTCAGGTGGCTTTTAATGGTGGGTGTTGGTTGAGAGGGAGCACTTGCATCCACCAAGCTGGCATAAATAAAATCGCAGCCCACATGAGAACGAGAAGGATCCCTTCACATTTCTGCCCTTTGTTATTGGATAGCTTTAACGGATGGCCTGAACCCAATGCCCCATCATATTTATCACTTACATTTGCATGATAATTTAATTACAGATGTTGATTTTCCCTAGATCAGAAACGGATGTTTCTGACAAACCCAAAGTGTAAGGAAGGAAGAAAATTCCAGGTTACAACAAAGGGTCTGGTAATTCACTTACAGGCATGAACTAATGTTAAGATATGATCTTAACATAAGATAAACTTCTAATTCTCAGGATGCCTTCACTGATCCAAAATACTACCCTGGCCTTTTGGTTCCCGGATCTTATCTCATTTTTTAGGAAGTCTGTGTACAAGGTCTAGAGCAGGAGTGGACAGTGGGGAGACTGCCATTAAGCGTGGAGCTTCCACTCTCAAAGAGCAATGATCAGGGATGGTGGGAGTTGAAGCCCCAAACATCTGGAGATCTACTGTCTGCCCACTCCTCCAGAACATGCATGCCTAACCTGCCACATAAGTGAACTCCTGGAGAGGAGCAGGAGGCACTGTCCCCGGTGGTGACTTAACAGCAGGCCAGCATTCCAGCCTCCCTCCAGTGTGCGTCACTGGTTCCCCGCCCCTTCCACGTTTACCACGTCAAGGCAAGAGTACCATCTTGCACACTGTTTCACTTTGGCTGCGATTTGTGAACCATTACACTGAATGAATTAAATAAAAAACAGATGAGTTGGCTACCACAACTACACATTAAAAATGCTCTGTCTTTTGTTACATAGACAGTCTTCTTGACTGCCCATGAAATCTGCAGCATGCTCATTTAATGATTCTGTACTGGCTCATTAAACTACTATACTTTAAATGCTCTTGACAGAGGCAGTGAAATAATGTCTGTCTTGTTATGAATGATGGCAGCAAACAGTGTGATACCAGGGAAAAAACTTCTTAAGAAAATTAAGTTTTTCCAATAAAAGCAATTATCCTTTTTTTTTTTTGTAAAAACCATACTGGAATATTAGTAGAGTTCAGAACCGAACCAACTTCTCAAATAAGGGAGATAGAACCCCAGGCCTGCAGTCCAAATCCACCCTTCTCTAGGTGTCTCCATCTTTCCCTCAGTCCCTTCCCCCAGTCTTCAATTGTCTAGTAGTTTCTTGGCTTTTGTACAGTTTTTTCCCATTCTAAAATATTGAAATGCCTCTCCAAAGGCTGAATTACTGGCAGTAAGAGCTTTAAGCTAACCTATGTTGGTGTATTTGGCTTTTGCTCTTTTGCCTTTAGCTCTAGCCAGGCTGGGAGCCATTGGAACCAGTCCTCGCTCCTACTGGAGTGGAGCCTCTGATGAGTAGATTTTTGAGTCCTCTAGTGAACAGGATTATCCTAAGAAGCAGTCCCCAACTGACTCCTGTGTTCTCCAACTTTCAGTACTTAGGAGAAGCTATTTATTTATTTATTTATTTAAAACATTTCTATGCCGCCCCATCGCAACAAAGCCTCGGGGCAGCTCACAACACATAAATACTAAAATTATACAATAAATAATACAATAAATAACACCCTGCCCCCCCCCCCAGTGCATTCTCGGCTTAAAAAAAAAACCAGAACCCCTAATTAATAAATAATTAACAGTTAAGTTTTAAATAAAAAGGTCTTAGCCTGGAGCCGAAAAACAAATAACGACGGCGCCAGGCGGACCTCTCTGGGGAGCGCATTCCATAAATGGGGTGCCACCGCAGAGAAAGCCTTCCTCCGGGTGCTCACCCTCCTAATCTCATTCACAGAGGGTTCCCGGAGGAGGGCATCTGCTGCTGACTTCAAGGGGCGGGAGGGCATATATGGGTACAAGCGTTCCTTTAGATAACCAGGTCCCAAGCCGTTTAGGGCTTTATAGGTCATAACCAACACCTTGAATTGGGCCCGGACTTCAATCGGGAGCTAGTGCATGTAGGACAGGCTTCCAGCCAGATACAGAACCTTGAAGGGGTACAGTTTTCAGAAAGATTCTCTTGGCCTGTCTACAAAAGTACTACAGCAGATTTTTAAAAGTACCATAGTGCTTTTGTCACAGAAAACTATAGATCACATGGCTTTGTAATGTGAAGATGGAAATTTAAATATCAACACAGGGATTAAGCTTTATGAATGCTTTAAACAACGCTTAAGGAAACCCTACATCTCCTGGGATACAACTACTTTGAAGGATACTGTAGACAAGACGCCCAGGAGGTGAAATAGTGTCTTCCCAGCATGCTTCCGCTTCTAGTACACATCCAGCTTACGCATTTATCATGGCCAGTGCTGATGACCCACTCTGCTTCCAAGCAAAAGATGATAGCAGACACTCTGTTCTGGTGAGCTGCAGAGAAAAACAATTCTAACACTTAGACTTGAATCGGAACACACCTGAATTGGAACAGTACAAACTCGCATGTCTTTAGAAGTAGGCAATGATCAGCATGATTTGTTGCTGGACAGGACCAACTATTTCCATACATTTAGACCTCATTTCATCATATATGATAGCTACTCAGACAGGGAACACCAGACACATCTACCTTTACAGAAGGTACTGTGGCCCCGAGACTTATTGTGAGGAGCAAAGAATTACTGTCAGTTAGAATTACCAGTGTCTACAACCAGATGGACAGTGCTACTAGTATCAACAAAAGGCAAAGAAAAATAACTCATGCCTGTGCAGCCATTTATTCTGCACATCTTATACTTTCTGAGGCATATTTGGCTTTGTGGGGAAAGAGGCAGAGATCACAAGCCAGAAAATACTGAAAATAACCATTGTTGTGAAGTGCCTGCACTTGATTCCAAAAAGGGTCAGCAACCCTAGAAAATAATTTCAATATCTGAGTAGAATAGACAAAAGGATTGCCTTCATTATGATTGCTCGAACTAGGTATATTTTTATGTTTTGGATTTCCAGAAATCCTTTCATTTAAAGGCTTCTTGCAGTTACTAATTTCCTTTATAGAGACATAATGATGCTGTTCTTTATACAGGCAAAACAGAAGCACAAATGAACAACAAAGTGCTTATATACTTGTAATTGTATCAAACTATGAAATTAAAGCAGAAAGAATGGGGAGAGGGGACACAGGTGTGTGTGTGCGCGCACATGTGTATGTGCAGTACTGCAGTAAAATTAGTTTGAAGAGAGAGGAGCATTCCTTTAAAATGAAAACTATTCATCTGCCTTGGTATAAAGGCTCCTCTGTTGTCATTGTAATACAAGGTCTCTCTCATAGCCAACCTTGCTTTCTGCAGCAGAAGACTAGTCATAAGTGGAATCTGCGTTTGTATGTATGCGTTTGTCTTGTATGCGTTTGTCCTTGTAATAAAAAGGATGGCTTATGAATGGGGCTCTAGATATTGCTCTCAATGCTTTATGTAGCCTATTCTACATCCACATACCTTTCCCACTGTGTCCTGAACAGACAATCTTTCTTTGTCTCCCAGGTACACTAGTAAAAATTGCACCTCATAGTCTAAAGATGTTTTACTGAAGAGAAAAGCAAGGCGTTCAAACCAGGAGTCTTGACATTAGATACGGCCAGAGCACAGTGTCATTTCTATAGCAAATAACACAGCCCAAAAAGAACCCATAGAATGGAGAAGAATAATTACCCCAAAAGGTCAAGTGCACCCCATTAGCTTTCTCAGAACCAATCATAAACCCAAGGAAAAGACATTAGTGATAAGCAGTAGTTACATTAATTTTCATGAATATGAATGGTACTTGGGAACTAATTTCTCCAGAAAACTAGTTTAGTCAGCACAAGTTTAAACTATTTTCCTGGTAGTGAATTACTTTAGCTTAATTGCAAAGAACAGTTCCATCTACGAATATGAAATAGTTCATTATTTTCAAAACAACAATAATAATATATGCTGATGAAGTATCTGTTTCATGACTAGCTCCTATCCTGTTATTGATGTATAAAATGCAACGTTAGGTAAGATGGAAGTAGAAAAGGAAGTAGGACAAGATGAGGAAGGTGTACACAAACGTGCGCGCACACACATTGTGGCTTAAGGCATAGTACATGCCAAACATGATTTGAATAATCACTGTCCTGGCACAGCTTGTTGTCATCCACATCTGGGCAGCACAGCATGCTGGATGGTTAAACAATACGCAACTCAACAACAGCCCATGAGTATTTTGACCCGCCAACAAACCATGCCACCGGAGTATGCTTGCATAGAGTTTTCAAACTGGTACACACCATGCCTTGTTTAAGCTACAGTGATCATGTGATTCATGTAAATGAGAATGTAACTATGTTATTTTACAGTTCCTAAGTCAAAAAAATTAAAAATATACAAACAGAAATGCTGAGGATTCGATTAGCCTGCATATTATACTTTGGCCCCAGGATCTGATTTATCAGTAGTTAACCACCATTGATATAAAAATTACAAGTTCCTATTATTATTATTATTATTATTATTATTCTAAAGATATAGATAAATTTATATGAGTTAAAATTAGCAGCTCACCATGTCTCCAAATAGGATAATTAACCCAAGTAAAAATTTGATGCAAGTGATTCAGAATCCTAAGTTGCTAACTTAGAATTTCTCACCTGTGAAGAAATGGACACTTCACTGTTTCATTACCTGGGTAAGTCTTGACAAAGTTCATCTTGTTAAAGTCTTCTGACACATGAAACTCCTGGAATCAAGAAACCAACTAGTTATTACAGGAAAGAGGCAAAATCGTTTCTTGGAACCTGGTAACTGAAAGGTACCTTCATTAATCAAGAACATTACTCTGCAAATAGGAAATGCAAATAATATTTTGCAGCCTATCTACTTGCATCTAAAGTACTACAGTTTGGAATATTTTGTTTAGGAAAAGGAATACCTGCTATTTATGTTTGATAATGTGGACATTTCCTATGTAAATACCGACCACTGCTATATTCTTCTATTTAAGGAAGAGTTTCTAGTAACAAAAATGACTGCTTGCTTTGCCAACACTGCCCACAAATGCAGAGAACTTCCAGATCAGATGGGCTTCTGCCTGTAAACAAATGCTGTACACCTGAGAGTCCATCTACACCGAAGTCCAAAAGCCCTTCTAAACAGGTAGGTCAGTTCCATCTGGGAAATCAGGAAGGAGTCTTAAGGAAATGCAGAGAGCCTTGCAAATGGGCAGACCTTGCAGACCAAGCCACTGTGCAGACTGAGCAGACCCTCTTGCTCCTAAACCATTTCCTGTTGAGCCCTGATTCAAGTTACCACTTTGATCCTTCATTCCCTATGAATATTTTCTCTTCCTAAAGACTAATCTTCAAAACCTGTTGCCGAGAGAGAGAGAGAGAGGCAAAAAGATATAAACTGTACCATCCATGCAGTAAGAGCAGAGAAAAAGACATAAGCTTTGAATGTGGTTTCATAAACAATACTAGTAATGAGCACCATATCAGTTGTTTATCCTGAACAGATCAGTACGTCCAAGCACAGAGATGTGCTGTGTACCACACACTGGAAATCAAAGAATGAGGAGTTCTCTATCACAAAGGACACTTGACCCAAAGCAGTTCTAGAATTGCAGATACTGATGCCCTGTAACTATATGAACAACTAGTTTGCATACTGATTTACATCCACGTGCCAGATACCTACCCACAGCATTCTGTTTCCCAAGCTAAGTGTCCCTTCTCCCCTTTCCAGACATACCACTAATTCTCAGAAACAGATGAGCTTGTGGTAAACCTGTATGTAGCTGCATAATCTCAAACTGCAAGTGGGGTCGTATGTCTGCCATCCACCCATCCACACCTGTTTTTGTGCAGACATGTCTCAAGGTACAGAAAAGAGCTGGATTCTTAGCCTTGCCACCTTCCTGATTTTAGCTCAGTAGGTGTCAATAAGCAATGCATGCACAAACTGGTTCACCTCTGCTACTACTGGCTCATCTCACAAATCAAGCTGAATGACCGAAATAAATTATAACCAGGCATTCCACGTGTCCCTGAAATGGTAACCTCATGTGTAACTGTTCCCAATGTATGACTGTTTTCTACAGTTTTCAAAGACATGCTTATAAATAATGGAAATCAGATGCTCACCATAATAGCTCCATTATCTTGGCCTACAAATATTCGTCTGCTGTCATGATGATAAGCCATAGCTGAACAAGGAGCTGCCCAAAGAAATATCAATTTTCAAATAAGTATTCCATTAAATTCTAAATTTATTATCTTTTATATTATCTTTAACACAGCAAAACACCCCCCTACTATTTGGCAGCCAGGTTCTTATTTATCTATGTACCTTCCCACCCAAACCAGAATCCGCTCTGAAGAATCCGCTCAGTTTACACAGTCTCAACAGTCCACTCTGGATTATCTAAATCGATGTGGGTTGCAGTGCATGCTGGTGGCCATTTTAAATAGTCAAGTTGCGGCAGGCAGTCACAGTGGCTTATCTTGTTATGTGAACCTGGCAATGGTAGCTTACGCAAGGTTAATCAACCCCTGCATAACTCCGAAATAGCCCATAGATTATGTAAGGTTGTTTACATAAATCACTTTCTTGTCACAGCATCACTTGGTTTGCATTTCTTGTCACAGCATCACTTGGTTCACTTGGATTGCTACAACAATCACCTACTGCAGTTTGAATATTCAAAAGGGCAGCAGGAAAACATGGCAATAAATAAGAATTACTGACCTGATTCACAAGATCACCCCAGCCCACCTTGGCTTACGTAAATCACAGATTTGCTCATTCGATCCCCGACTTGTCACATTCTCTGAACCAGAGCAGCAGTAATTGTTCTAGGGTAATCCACTGCTGCCTAGGTTCAGATGGCATTAAAGGTGCTGAAGATTCAAAATGGCTACCTGGATGTGCCACAATGAGCTGCAGTGATTGTGCAAAGCCATTGGGCTCCTGATATAATAGGCTTATAGACTTTGAAAAAGTCAAGTCCAGCCTTGTATCTTTAAGCAGTGCTAATTTTCTGCAGATTAGGCTACTGCTTCAGAGCAGACAAACTCTTTTCCACATTAGCTGGCTACCCTATTTAACAGCAAAAGCCTTTTTTGGATTCAGTTTAATTGTAAAAAGACTAACTGAATGGCCCAGGGTTTCAATTTTCTGGGAAAATCTTGAGTGAGGAAAATAACAGTTGAGCATTATCTTTTTTGTGGGAGAATTTGAGCAGGATTTTTTACTAAACAAAAAGTCACTGTATTGGCTCAGTTATACACTAATTTGTAGATATGGACTAGCAAGATATACTATATAAGAAAGCACTTCAGTTAAGTAGTTGAATCCTTCAGAATCAGAATCTCTCATCTTAAGCATGAACAATACTCGTATTTGTCAGCTTCCTCTGGTGGGAAAATTTCCGTCAGTGTCAAAATTACATTCTTCCATAGAAGGTCAGGATCAGTTTGTCATGGTCCACCCAGACAAACTCAGATGATGCAGCCATGTCACAAGACAGTCTCATGGATTATACGCAGACTGCTAGAACAAGCCTACTGAAGAATTACCAGAATGTTGTAACTGGAAGAACTTTAGAAGGGCCATGAAGAGTAGTCACTAACAGATGCCACAAAAGGATCAAGGAAAACAGAAATAAATGCTTTTATTCTCACAAACCAGTGAGAATCAATATAGTAGCTACTATACATGCATATGAAAAGGGCTAAGCAAGCATTTAAAAATACTTTACATATGAGTATAGGAAACATTTTTTCTATTAACTTCTTTACTAAACTTCATACTCTCTCACTGAAGCTTATGGCCTGCTTCTTCCTGCACTTTTTGTATTCAGGCAAAGATTTTAAAGTAGAAAATAATTGTGCCTTACGTCAATTTCAGCAGTGCATTATTTTTGTATTGCTGCTTTTTATAGCCCCGGCAATCAGGAAATGTTTAAGCCACTGTGCTAAGAAAAGCAGGATGTTAACATATGAGTCTGTGTGAGGTCAGCATTGCCACAGATATAATGTTAATAGTGCATGTGAAGCTTGCACTTTGAAAATATGTACCAAATCCAAGTGGACATGAAAAGCATCACCAATTCAGTTCTTCACTCAGCAAAAAGAAAATAAGGGAGTGTTTATACCAAATTAGTACATTTGGGTATCATCATGGAGTGAGGACAGGATAAGAAATACTTGCATCACCTTTCTTTCAATTAACCTCACTAGATAGCACAGCAGTAGGCTGCTGCATACGAGCTCAGGTTAAGACACTGTTCCACAGCACAGCACAAGCAAAAGAGGCTTCATGAATGGCAGTGGTAAGCAACAAAAGCCACAACATCTGGATGGCCACATAACTCCCATCAGATCTAGCTAGCATAGCCAATGGTGAGGGATTCTGGAAACTGTAGGTTAAAGCATCTGGAAGGCTATGCATTGGCCATGCCTTACTGGGTTCAGGACGGAGATCTGCTCTCCTCCTATTTCCTGTACATGGATTTAGAAAAGACACTGAGATCAGCAGTGTGCAAAGACTATACACATATGTGTACTCACAGACATGCATATTTCGGGAAGCTGTTGCCATGGGGGAGCGAATCTCTTCCTAGGGTCACATACAAGGGTCATACTCAACAGATGACATCAGCACAGCAGCACCTGTACTTACATGACATGGTATGGTAAATGCTGGGCCAGTACTGGCCGCTGTCTCTCTTCAGCCATACTCTAATTGTCCTGTGAATATTAGGAAAAGAGCTTATGTAATTCTTTAGCAGAAAGTCCATTTTATGGTGAAACTTTAAAAAGATGACATTTCAACTGCTTAAAACTAAGCATCTTAATTCACACCTTCCATACAAGCCCATACTGGAAAGTCAATTCTTTTTATTAGTCTTACAAGTTATTTTACTTTTCCTTCACTGCACAACTCTCCCTACTACATTCAATCAACTTTTTATGAACACTGGTATAACTGCTAATATTACTTGCATGAGCTAAACTAGCCTTTTCAACCTGGTGCCCTCCAGATGTGTTGGACTAGAATTCCTGGCTCACTGGGAGATGCTGAGAGTTGTAGGTTAACACTCCCAAGGGCACCAGGTTGAGCAAGCCTGATTTCTCCTGTAAATGATTACCCAGATTCTTTGTATGGGCTCAACTGACTCAACTTTCTGTATATGGGCTCACCATTTCAGGAAGGTTGGTCAGATGTACATTTCTCATGATGATGCTAAATAATCTGTTTTGGCCAAATCTCTGCCCAAAAGCTAGAGATTCAAAGATTGGCTTCTGGTCTCACCCCCTTCAGATCTTTAATCAAAAGATGGAACACAGTTCACTATCTCTGCAGGATTATTGTACAATGGTATGAAAGATGAATCTGGGGAGCTATTATTTTTTTGGCACCTAGGGATATGGACATGGGAGTGTAGAAAAATCACCAGCTTTCAATTATGAAGTTTACAGGACTGGTAAATAAGCTTTTGTATTTAATTCGGAAGGATTATTTTAAGTTAGCAAACTGATAACTTTCCATTCTCATGACCATTAAGGGTGAATGGAGCAAGACAGAAGAACATTCAAGATAACATGTATTTAGCAGGAAGAAGCACACAGGGAAAGATTTTAGGTAGAAAAAAGTATATAAAATGCAGATGAACAGTTCTCACAGCAAAATATTTTGACAAGCAGTTCTCTGCACTTGCAAGGCATACCCTTTGTTTTAACAATTTTGTGACAAGAGAAAGTAAATCATCCACCACACCTTGTGTCAATCACACTTTTAAGAGATATCAAGATAATTTGGCACATGGTGCTTTATGCATTGTTATTCAATGCACACAAGAACACGGGGGAGGGGGGGAGACTGCACAACATTACATCCCATTATGGGTGAGAAACCACAGTAGGTTGTTCCGTTATGCAAACCCAGACCACCTCCTGTGGGGTGGCAACAAATTACCCATGGCTTGCTTAAGTGATCATTTGACCCACAATGGGTTGTTGTATTATCTGAACCCAAGCAACTAACTTCATTACGGGTTGAGGGGAGCAGCTAACAAGCCGCTCAGCAGGAACTGCAAGTGCTGAGCTTGCCCAGGGCATCACCAGTGCAAATTGCCCACCAATGCTCAAGTGGCATGGTGGAGCAACCATCAGTGGTTCAGAGTGTCCTGCCACAACTGTGAGCCATGTTTTTTCCCCCTCTTTGTCCCATAAAAGGGGGTGGATCCACTTGTCCAAGTTGGACACTAAGATGACTCAGGTACATCCCAAAAGAGTAATGTCTTGGCAAAGTGGTGATCTACTGACTACCTCCTTTCATGAGCAAAGATCACACCTGGCTTTGCTTCCCCTTGACAACTCACTTTTTGACAGCGTCATGGGAATACCAAGTCAGCAATAACTGTTTGCTGTCTCTGAGGTCAATGTTCATTCACTACCCAAGTGAAGCCGCACATTTCAGCCCTGCAAACACACACTTTTCCATGCTTGACTACTTTTTTTAAATATAAAAATATTTCTGCACATTTGGGGGCACCAAAAATGGTTACCTGCCATAATAGGGTTATAAAACTATTGATTTTTGAACAAGGGCCCTTCAGGCATAATCCTCAAATGAATCAATATGTGGATATTTGGGGTGCTTTTGCTGAAATCTATGTACAATTATTTGTAATAATGACACTATGTTCTGTTATACATTATATATCCCTGTCTATTAGTAAATGTGTAATTAATTATATGAATCTTGAAAAATCTTATTCAAATATTTTAATGTTTTAGCTTTGTTCTTCTTTACTAGTTGTTTATTTGTGTGGATTGGTTCTTTTCGTATTACACATTTAACCATAGAGATTTAAAAAATGAAACAGAAGTGGCAAGCCACTTGTGCACTTTGAAGGATGTCATTGGCTAAGAACCTGGAGATTGTCAAAGTGGTTTCTGGAAAAATGGAGAAAAGGGGAGAAAAAGCTGCTCTGAGCAAAAAAGTGCTTGCAATTGCTGTAGAGAGAAGAGACAAGGTACCCTTAGCCTCCAATTTCCCTGGGATATCAGCTGGACGACTGAAGCAAGAAGGCATGGGGACAAGCCACAGCGAGCCTGACTATCTGTCAGGTACACTTTGAGTTGTTTTGTGGACAATGCATTCTGCATATCTTAAGCACAGGGTTGGTTGTCATAATATACCAACCCACACATTAAACCAAAAGAGCTCTAAAACAAAAGTCCCAAGCATTTGGAAAGAAAAAAATCAATATAATAATCCCCAAGCTACAAGCAGATAAACAGAGACAGGATTTGGATAACATACTGCAGGTCATGATGGATTATTTAATTCACAAAGAGCAGTGATGCCCACAGGTGCCAGGTTGCACAGCCAACCCCCACTCAGGGATTGTCAGGTCACATGAACCTGGCAAGCATAGGTTACAAGAGGATTAAACAACCTCTGTACAACTGTAAAACAATTGCCTTTGCAAAAGCTGTTTAACTTTCTCAAAACCAACACTACCCAAGTTTGCACCACCCAAGCTCTCCCAAATGGGGGTCTGTATAATAAAAATGACAGTTACATATGCCTTGTGGCCTCACCATGGATTAAATAAACCACAAGCAGGCTGTTGTGCCATACATAAGACCTTAATAACCATGCTGGATCAGACAAAGGGTCCATCTAGTCCAGCATTCTGTTCAGAAAGTGGCCAATGATCTTCCTACAGGAACCCACAGACAGCCCCACAAAGAATAGACACGCATGAAGTACATAGCTGAAGTGAGATTTGAACTGAGGATTTACTAGCTGATTGTTCACAGTTGGCCATTACCTCGCTCTAACTTTCAGCTGACATAGGAAGCAACATGTCTGGCAAAACCAATTAAGAAGTGTTATACTACCCGATGCTAGGAGGCCGGCTGGTGCACACAGCTACCCATGTGAGTAGCTGAAACCATTTCCTCTCTCTGCAGTTCAAGCACTGATTGGAATAAAAACCAGGAATCAAGGATGTCCAGTCCTAAATCCCTGAGCCACCATTCAAGACAATAGTTCATACACTTTGAGGAAACACACATTCTTTTTTTGGCTTAGACATAATCCAGTGCAACAGATGCTGTAATCCCTGAAGGCTTTGGAGAACCAGCAACTATTAACCCTTTGGTATGACGAATGATTAACAAATTATTTACCACAGGTTCAAGGGACAATTTCTCTACACACATTCTTTTTCTATGTCATCTGTTTAAAAACACACCTATATTCTGTTCCACCACAATAAAGGCAAAGGCAACTATAGGGCAATATTATGCCTTCTTAAGAGTTAACAATATTGAACCTAAGAAGGAGACTATGTGCACTTTTCTCTCCCTCTGATATTTGCCACTAGATTACCTAGACAGATGAAGCTGCAACTGTCATCATATAACATCATACATGTATTTGAGTTCCACAGAAGCCAGTTGGGGGGAAAGAAAAGGAAATGTCCTCCTTACCTAAGTGGAAGGTCTTCTGTCTGTTCGACAAATGTGATGCACAGTGTTTTTCTATCTTTTTTCCCTTATCCACATGTAGGACTACCATTCATCCTAAGTAACAGTGGTGCACACCCACTCTATTTCCTCTTCCTTCCCACCAAACAATATGAAGCAGCTGGAGGAAAGGATGTGTTTCTCTTATCTTTCTGGTCCTACCTATAGCTAGTATGATTTTTGGTGGGTAAGTTTCTTTAGGCATAACCTGAGCCTGGTCTCACCAAGGCTTCATCACAGAGTCTAGGTTCAAGATGAGACCCGAACTCTATAATGCAGAGAAAGGAAGACTTTCTAGTCAGTTAGGTCTGAGGTTAGAGAATGCATTAAAAAATGCTTGAGATGTGAGGATTCTCTCCCTGTCCCCCAGACACACACAGTTCCCCTGTATACTCCACAGAAAATCTTAGCTCAGGCATCTACACCTGGCAAAGCACAACTCCCACTCTGCATGGTCAGTGGGAGTGAGGAAATAAAGAGAACATCCTTTCTTGTGTGTGGGCATCCTGGGGAAAGGGGACTTGCTATAGCACAGTGAACTCTATCTCCCCACCTTCCGCAGATTTCAGGGCACCACCCTGAGTTACACCATGTGTAAACTCATGCACGCATCCCCTGGCAAAGAGTAAAACTTCATGCATTTGGCAGAGCAAGCTTTGTAATCCGGCAAAGTTTCACCCAAATAGAACAATTCATCCTAAAGGAATCACAAGACCATCACACACACCCCCTTCACTTTTTGTTTTGTTTTGTGTTACTTTACTGGTCTAGGCAAGCCCTCAGTGGGAAATGAGAGGGAGTCACTATCCAAGAACATGTTGCTCTTTGTGTATTTTCCGCTGGCCTCCCTCTTCCATACTATTACGGGATGGCATATCCAAAATAAAAAAGGGGTGTGTCCCTCCTTCGTTGGTTCCCTCCCCCACGCCACACACACACCTACACCCTACCGCTCTTTATCTCGGGTGCAGAACGCGCGGCCCTCCAAATGTGGTTGGACTACAACTCCCATCAACCCCTGCCAGAATGGCCCACGGCCAGGGATGATTGGCGTGGCAGTCCAACCACGCCTGGAGGGAGCACACGTCCCCTGCTTTATCCGTTTGCAAAGACTGACGGAAGGGAGAAAGACGATTGCAGAGCAACCCCCTCCCCAAAATAGACCCCAACTCAGAGTTTTGGAGCACCTTAAAAGCTTTGTAGATTTATTCGTATTTAAGGTCATGCGTCGTGCCTCCTGTGGATTTTAAGAACGGAGGCTCGGGGGCGGACGGGGAGGGGCCCGTTCCTTACTACCCGCCGGAGCTCAGGTTGCTCCCGTCTCTGCTGCCTCCTCTCCCCTCTAGCGAAAGGGGTCGGGGCTCCCTCCGCAGGTAGCCCCGCGGAGGGTCCCTTCAGGTCCTCCCACCTGTCCTCGCTGGCGGTGATGATGCCATCCTCCTTGGGGATGATGAGGGCGGCACTGACGGCGTCCTGGTGCCCCTCGATCTTGCTCAGCAGGACCGGGCGGCTGCTCTGAGGCCGCGAGTGAATTTCGGCCGCCATCTCGCAAGCAGGCAAGCGGCCCAACCCGGCCAGAGCAGATCGACCCGTAATAGCGGGTATAGAGGCGCCTCCGGAAGGAATCAGCGCCCAGCCGTCTTCCGTATTCCCCAGAATAGCGTCGTCTCCGGAAGCAGCGAAATAACTGGGTGAGGGTACCACCGTAATGGCAGGAGGAGCAACGTGCAGTAGGAATTCCCATAAGGTGCAGAATTCAGGTGCCTCTCTATGGGCTTTTCTGGGTGTTTCTCTTCAGTGGCCGCAGAATGGGCCCTTTTATATCTTATACTAAATTTAGCAAATGTAAACATCGTATATATTATATGGCTTCTTATCATGTCAAGGTAAAATCCTTTTAACAGTTTCGCATAAGGTATATAGTAAATGTGAAGTGTTCTGTTTTTTAGGAAGAACGTCAGAAAATATTGATATTTGTTGGCAAAACGGAAAGCCAAGTGAGTGTCCTCTGTACATGGCAATTATTAATTTCAGTTCTATACTGCCCCACAGCTGAAGCTCAAATATCTATACATATATATTCAGAAATAAGCCCCATTTAACTTAATAGAGTTTACACCAGTGTATGTATGTAAGATTGCATTTTTCTTTCATTTTCAAGGAGGAAAACAGATAAGGCCACCTTACAGAGGATGTAGAAACCATAAAATGGAAGTGTTAACTGTAACTAAATTGCGGATGTACAAAACTTCCCGAGATGATAATTTCATAACAGCAAGAACCACCATGGTCTCTCTTTTCTCCCAGGTTTTGACAGCCTTTTTGTGCCCATGCATTAAAATGTCTCTAAGTAGCTATTAAGTTATTTTAATAGTACTTTACTCCTCTAGCAGAACTACTGTCACATTATCTGGCACCTTCTTGCTTCATTAAAAGTACATTAGTGATAAATTAATAGTAATAAGATGAACTGAAATATCCCTTGAACATTTAACAAGTGAACTCACCAATTCACTTTACTACAGTATGCAAAAAGGAAAAGGATTCATAGTGGGACATCCCACAGTGTGAGCCCTGAAGTTGTTAAATGAAATAGGATTGCTGAGTGTCAGTGGAAAGGAGGGGGTCTCTGTAATCATTTAATTATTCCCTGAAAAGACCACTTGATGCCATATGTTTGAGATCACCAGGAAGAGCCTTTCAACTGACCCAGGCTGTAGAAGGTCATAGAGGGAGCAACTAGAGAGTAGATCTTTGATACTGGCAGCCCAGCTCTAACATGTCCATTCCACACCTGTTCATTTGACCCCTTACAAGTTTTAGGTGCCAGGTGAATACAGTTTTATTCACTCATGCTTTTCTAGTGACTAAGTTGTACAGTTTTGGTTTAGTTTTACTTCCTGTTTTATTGTTTGATGCTTTGCTATTTGTATTTTTAACTTTTTAATGTATGTATTATTTTTATTGCTTTCCTTAATTCCGTATGTCTTCTTGTGAGCATGCAATTGAAAGCAGTATCATCGTGATCCTATATAGATCTATTTAGATGGAAGACTCATTGAGTTCAGGAGGGGCTACATCAAGTTAAGTGTAGTCCTCTTAAATGAACACTCTGTGATTAGAAGACCCTAAAGTCAGAGGGATCCAATAATCTAGTACAGGGTGGGAGGAGTGATGAAGGCAATCTTTGCTTCCCCATCTTTCTGTCCTGCAGATTTTGCTAGAGGGGCTTTTTAGTTCTTCTGGCTAGGGTGCTTCAAAGGAGTATGGAAGGAGGCTGGTATGCAGCTTTTCAACTGTTTTGAGGTTGGTTTTCAGACCCCAGCCATCCAGTGTGGTTTTCTTCACTGGATATGAAGGAATGGGGCAGAATCCCTGATTCCAACTTTCAAGGTTGGAGAATGTCTCCAACCTCAGGGGGAAATAGCTCTGCAATTCCTGGGACATTCACCCTGGTACCCAAGGACTGCACTCTAAATAAATCATAGTAGAGTTGGAAGAGGCCACGAGGCCATTGGGTACAACTCCCTGCTATTGAAGGACACTAAGTTACACCATTTCATTCAGGTGACTGTCCAGATGCTTTTTGAATGTCTCCAGTGCTGTCATACTGCTGACAGTGAGGAAATTCTTCCTGGTATCTAGTCTAGCTCTGGTTTCTTTTACCTTAAATCTGTTATTCCATGTCCTGTACTCTGGAATGGATGAGATCTTGTCTTTCCTCTTTGTGACAGCCTTTCAGGGACTTGTAGAGTGTTATCCCATCATCCCTCAGCCTTCTCTTCCTGAGGCTGACCATGCCTAGTTCTCCCAGTCTTTCTTCACAGTGCTTTTCCTCCGGCCCCTGAATCATCCTTGTTGCTCTCCTCAGTACTATATGGCATCACTTGGAAGATATATTTCCAAGAACAGCAATTGTACACCGACAGCTTAGAAAATAATAGAACTGATCCAAAGAAATGTTTTTGCCACTATGGCATTTAAAGTTAAATTGAGATACATTGTTTTCCAAAACTGACTGTAATGGATAAAAGGCTGTGGTGGGGGTGGGACTTAACCATGGTTTGCTGAACAAACCAAGATCTGTCTCACAAAATTAAACTGTGGATTTTTTCACCTTATGTTGGTTTGTTCTTCCACTCACTCCTACTCTGTAAATACCCAGTGTTTGTAACTATTTAAGGACGAAATGGTCTGCAACTCTAGTTCTTTTATTATTGATGTAGAACTGGGATGGGGGACATTTCCTCCTAAGATCTTTAGATATCCTGAACTCACCCTTGAGCCTAAAAAAAAGCCTTCAAGCATCCCTCCCTCTTCTTATTCCAAGACATTCCTCCCAAAAAGTTGAGGAGGATTGTTTCAGAAACCAGGACTTAGTGAGAATGCATAATGGCAGTCACGTAAGAAAAGTCATGTTGGCTCACAGGATCCTTGAGTAGGGTAGGCACAGGAGTTTAACCTGCCCAAACTCCTCAGCAACTCATGCATGCAGGCATGTATCTCTGATAATGGAGATAACACAGAGCCAACAAGGCTAGTAATCACTGATAACCTTCTCCTCCATGAATTTGTGCAATCCCTTTTAAGGCCATCCAAGTGGCCATCACTACTTCATGCAGCTATACTTTAACCATATATTAACTATGCACAATGTGAAGAAGTACTACCTTTTATGTGTCCTAAATCTCCTACCAATCAGTTCCCTGGGCTGATCCCAAGTTCTAGTATCTTGGCGTATGTGTATAATCGCATCTGTTGGAATCACTTGCTGAGAATAAGAGAGTGTTTTTAACATATATCCATTTTTCAGTACCAATGATCCTATCAAAATATTTTCTCTGAAAGAGATGCTAGGGAGTGAGAGCAAAGGCATCTGTTGTCAGGCAGAACAATGGTGGTGAGAGAGAATCTGTAAAAAGTGCTGGCAATAATCTCTTAGTCATGTGAGCAGTTTCAGTTATGTACTTCTGTTTCCTGAATAGAACTCTGGATTCAGTTATCCCTATGCCTTTGATAGCCAACAATAATTTTAGCAAATACCTTTTGCATGCTTGATGACTTGTATGGTAGGCAGACTATTAAAAATGGCCTTTCAGGATAGAAGCTACAGCAGCCTCTTCAATCTGCTGTCCTCTAGATATTTGGGGGCTACAACTCCAAGAACACCTGCCTATTAGCCATGTTGACTGGGACAGATGAGAGCTGAAATCCAAAGCATCTGGAGGGCACCAGATTGGTGAATGCTACAGTAACAAAAATCAGTTTTCAATTACATAAAAAAGCAAATATTTCTATTTTGCATGATCACAGATGAGAAAGCAACATCTGCTGGTAACCCAGGAACTTGATAAAGCTTGTGAGAATCACTTTTAGAAAACCAATACAGTACAAATGTTTTTGTTTACAGTTCCTTGTCCTGCCAAATATAGTTTGTATCTATGGAATCATAAGTAGGTGTAGTTTCCTATAATCACTTACAATGAATCACAGTAAATAATGTGATATGTAAGACAAGAATAATGTAAATAGAAGTAAGATTTTATTCACATTTGAATCAGTGATCTGTCCACAAGATGGTGCTGTAACCATTTTTAAAATGAATTCAATCTTGAAAGCAAGTTAATTCAAAACATTTTGATACCATCTTTTGCCTTACTGAAGAAATGTATTTTTTAGCGTGTCACTCGTTTTGTAGGTTTAAACAGTTTCCAGGACGCATTTCCAGCCTAAATAGTGCCCACTGCATACTGACAACTCCACTGTGGGAGTTTCAGATTTCAGAACATTGGACTGCAGTTCGGTGTGCCTGAAGCTCACAAGTCAGGGGAAGTTTTATCAGTCCTAAACCCCCTGCTAATCCAAATATAAAGATGGGCTCTATTGAATTTACTGGGCAACTCTTTTTAAAGTAACTTTCAACCAATTTACATCTACAATAGCTTAGCTCTTATGACTTTTGTGAGATTAAACTGAAGACTTAAGCACATCTACAAATTTAAGCTAATTGGTATTGTGTGTTCCCTTTTGCAATTCTAATTTTAAAGTGAAGTGATTGAAATACATGGCTGCTCTTGGCGATGCCTTTACATGTGCTTAATATGTGTTTGGAGACTTGTCTTCCCCTCAACTGTAGGGAATGATCATATTTCAAAGACAGTTAAAACTCTCCTGCTTAGGCTGGTATTTGAAAGCTGAAGATTAAAGCAGTGACTTTGATGCTAATCCCCAGGACAAGGTACAACCATCTGGCTGGGGGATGCTGGGAACTGCAGACCTTTTTTCTGTCTAGATAAAAGATTGCATCCTAAAAAATTCTCAGTAAAGACCATGGTTTTCTCCTATATGAACACACAATTAGTCTCAGGCTTTTACTTTCTTCAATGTGTCCACAAGGAGATTAAAATCAGATGGGAAACCTTTCAAAGAAACTACAGTTCTGTGGTATCTTAACTGTGGTTTAAAATATGGCTAACAAATACAAGCCAGGATCAAAAATTGTTTTCAGATTCTGACTTGTTTTCACTAACTATAAGAAACCACAGTATTCTAAATTCATAGGAAACCATGGCTAGTTTAAATAGATGCTTCTAATAGCCTTCTCTGGCGAGCATTAAAAGAAGTAATGTAGGGCTTAATCCTAATCTAATGCAAATGGACAACTGTAATTTAAGGGTCAAGTTTTAGACTAGAGCAGAGATGGGAATGTGTTGCCTTCAGATGCTGTTGGACTCTAAAATGTGTGGAATTGTGCAAGTTGTGATTTAATAACATCTAGTGGGTTCATGGTCCGCATCCCTGCTGTAGAGCATGTCAAAAAGTCAATCCAGTTTACCTGCATCTTTTTAGAATGAAGAAAACCTGGGGATATAGTATACCATAGTATGCAACAGTGATTTTGGCTGTTCAGTTATAAGATTCTGTCACATAATGACAGCCAGCCAGTGTGGGATAGTGGTTAAGAGTGCAGGACTGGGACTCAGGTAATCTGGGTTCTAGTCCCGACTCAGCCGTGGAGCCAACTGAGTGACTTTAGGCCAGTGACAGACTCTCAGCCCAATCTACCTCACAGGTTATGGTTGTGGAGAGAAGATTGCAATCAGGAGGAAGAAAATTATGTAAGCCACTTTGAGTTCTTTGTTTAAAAAAAAAAAAGTGGATATAAATCAAATAAATAAATAAAGGAAATACTTTATTGTCCCCCAAACAGTAGATCTCTTATTCTTCAGCTTCCCAAGTTATCATTCCTAATATGCAAGTGCTATGAAACAACTAACATACAAATATAAATTAACATGTTTTCTAAATCTGCTATTGTACAATTTTCTAATTAAGATTACATGCCTTCTGACTGAATGTATCTTGAATGTCTGTTGGGAAAAGCAAGGAAGAAGCCCTAAGAAATAAAAAATGGTAAGAGGCCAGCATAAGTGGTAGGCTGGAACAATTCAAAATAAAGATGAATATGGTAATCTGTACCAAAAGCTTTTGACAATAGACTTTTGTATTAAAATATGAGATGAGCTATTTTAATGCATAAGTGAGCATTAGAACTTGCATATTAAAAAATATTGCAAAGTTTCTCCATTTACATGACATGGAAGATTATTTACAGGAAACAACCATGTTTCATGATCAGGTAGCTGATACTAGAAACATCTTCCATTTAATTGTATCATGGCTAATATTCATGAGGAAGATTTCTGGAGGACTATAGCAGCCAAGGTTCCTTTACCAGTTGGGAAGAGTGCAAGCCTTCCATTAGACAAAAAAGCAGAACCAAGCGATTTCAGACCTCATTTCCTTATTTGCTCGAAAAAAAACCCCTGCATTACCCAAGAAATGTGCAGGGTCATACACAACTTACAGTAAATTATGATGCTGAAGTGGATATGGACAATGTCCTTTATGTATGAAGCTTGGGTTTTGATTACTTTTTAACATACAGATTATCTTGCATGAGGAGTTGACATGACATAAGCTTCCAGTGATTACATTTTAAATTACCTGTATACATAATACGGTTTGGCGCATCTGAATATTTATTGAATAGAAGTATTCTGAAGTGCAGGAGCATCATTGCAGAAGTAGTTTACCACATACAAGAGCACAGCAAAAATCCACCAGATCAGATCCATTTTGCAGTGAATTTACAATCAGTTCCTTGTACTACAACAAATTATATCCCTCCAACACCACTGTGACACTATGCAGTTTTCAACTGTTCATAATGCTTTTATTTTTCCTTTGTACAAAAAATATAAAATTTAAATCCATAGAAAGTGTATACTAGCAATGACAAGTTTACATTACACCAATGCAGGGGTGTTAACTGGGACATTAGTTGTTTAAATCTCAGAATTACATGCACAATATAAAATAAAAAAACGGCTAAAGCTTTACATTTCTAATGTCAATGCCTCATCAAACCACTCAATCGCAGCAGTAGGAGGCATCTTCAAATTAAAAAATTCAAATTTGTCCCTTTAGTCCCAACTTTTGTTAGAAGACCTCAAATCACAATACAAAATACTTAAGACCAAGCAAAATTTCAAAAGTTGTTAGCACAAGGAAGTAATCAGTAGTTTTAAAAATCTTTAAATTGTTTTGAAAAGGCATTCATTTTTCCACAAAAAAATCCCAGCTACTAATGACTCCTTTTCAAAACCTAGCTGACCAACCACGCTCAAAAGCTAGTTCATAGCCAAAGAATAGTGTACAAAAATATTTAACAGAACGCGGGCATCCATCTTTAAATTTGCTTCAGAAGAAAAATCTCCACATGTTCAAGGTTTGTTGATTTGTCCCATAAACAAAACTGCACCTGAATGAGAAAACGTTATTGCAGATATTAATTCACAAATGGTCTATTTTCTACCAAAACGAACACATCTAGGCAAGAAAATATTCAATCAGCTTTCTTCATTTATATAACTATTTGGTAGAAGCAGATATCGTCAAAGATCATCATTCTACTTATTTTGGTTATGGTTCACTACTGTAATAGGGAATAACAGCAAACATAGCGTTATATTTTAAAAAGGAAAGTGGTGGCTTTTGCTTATTAAACCAATAAAGAGGCAATCCTACTGCAATGCCTATAAGCTTTGAACATGAAGGCTTAGATGTGCATCCTACCTAGAGTGAGAGGAATGGCAGAGGCATTCTTTCTCCCCCATCCTTCTGCCCTGCATTTTCTGCTAGATGGGCTTTTTTGCCTGCCTGGGTGGAACATTTTGGAGGATGGATACCTTTTATTCTGGCCTCTGTAATCTCCACTATTCCCCCTAAAATGTCTCCCTTTCAAACACTCCGAGGTTGCTTTCCCAATATCAGAAAGCAGCCAGCATGATGCTCCTCATACTGGCTGCAAGGGAGGTTTGGATCTCAGATCTGGAAATCCAAACTATCCTATGGCCCTTCAGATGGTGTATGGGGGCCAAAGAATTGTTCCCAAAGAATACAGTCCAATGCTTGGAACTTCATTTACATCCAATGACAACAATCTCTTTTGCTTCTGTGCCTTGCCCCATGTAGCCTGTCCTGTCACTCTAAACTGTCCTTTTTGGCAATCTATATTTAGCACTGGGGAGGGAAGGAGGCTGGGGACACTCAGAGTAATTGGCCTTCTCCCCTCCCCACAGCACATCTCATTTTGTCCTTTCTGAGGCCCAGTTATATCTTCAGAGAGGTGTCTGCATGTTATTTTCTACACTAGAAGTGAGCTGGGAAGGGCTTATACTTTGACCTTCAGAGTCTTCACTTCAAGGTCACAAGACCTTGGTGTCAGGGCTTTAAAAATGCTATGGGTCCCCTAGAAATATAAAGAGGCCATATGTCTGAGCCCTAAATTTATTAAATCAATACTCACAATTCTTCAGTTTAACATTTCATAAGCATTGCTTGGTAATATGCAAATTTGAATTTAATGCTTCCATCCACTGGTTAGAAGTCAAAATATATAATTCTTTAAACCAATAGGCAGCCATGTGTCCACTTTGAGTTCTGAATGGAACTAAAGTTGTGTTTAGAAACTAGACTACCATAGTACCTACCACTATTTACTTTCAATGATTTAAAGTAGAACTGAGTGAAAATCACATCCACTCACCAGCTGAGCATTGTTTTGGCATGTGGAAAATTGGTGTGATTATTTCAGTAAGGGGGTGAAGTTTACCAGTAGTTTGTTGGCGTTCACAACTAGTAATAGCAGAAGCACAGCTACTGCCCCCATCCCTTCTTTTTTTCATCCTTCACAATTCCCCAACTCGTAACTTTCTGGAGCAGCAGTGGGAAAAAGGCACTCATCCACCATGAATTTTTGGAGTTTATTCAGAAAATATTTGGCAAATGCTGTTTTGTTTTGAAAGTGGAGAATTCTCAAGAAAAACTTGGTCTGAAAAATGTCCAATATATTTTAAAGGCACTTTTAATGCCTGTTACTAAAATCTGACAAGATCTCCTTTTTTCATTTAAGAATTAAAATTTAAGGGCACGATACAGCAAAACTCAAACATTTTAAATAATATTAATTTTAACTGGAAATATTTAAGTGTATACTTACCCATCCCACTGAGAATCTAATGGGACTTAATAATGCTAACGTGGGGTACAATGTATACAAATTTATTAATAAGCAAAAGCAACCACCAACTTTCATTTTCCAATACAGTGTTACATATTGTCTGCATTAAAAGCAATAGGAATGAGTTATGGAACAATTTTTAGGACAAATCTTAAAACTAGAGGATTTCATCCATAACTCACAACTAAAGGAAAAAAATCAGTAAAGTTATACTGGCTGAGTACATAATCCTGAATTAAAATTTGTTGTTCTAGGATTGCCAAGTTCCTAGATAACTCTGTGTATGTGTGAATCTGGATGTATAGAGTGTTGTTTGAAGTTTGGTTATTATCTGAAAGATAGAATCCTTCATATACAGCTTTAAATACTAAAGCATCACTTCCTAGAAAACTCAACTGAAATCAGTTTATACATTTCTGCATACATGTGTTTATGATCATGTCATCTTTAGAATACCCTGCCCTTTCAGACAGATGTTGTTTTTCTCCCATCTTTTATATGGAAGCACAAGTGGGAGGTGAATCAACTGAAATACTGCATATAGCTTTAGATTTAGCTACATTATTCTGATACTTCAGTCCCCTTCTCATTTCTCTGAGAAAAAGGTGTTTACCCTAAGCAGCTCTCTTATGCTGAGCCTAGAATATCAATTAGAAGAAAAACAGCTGAGAAGCGGAGCAGAGAGAGGAGATGTGTGTTTTGACAAACAGCCAGTGCTCCTCTTCAGAACCACACAATGTGCCTTTGATGTCCTAAGCTGCCTATGTCTGGGAACTGATGCCTCAAGTCGTCTTCCTCTACAGTGCTGGCACTTTTACCACCAGCACACATCATATATGCAGATGAGCTAATGAATATGCTGGTGGAGCACAGGGCCTATTGGTTCTTGGCAACAACCCCGAGTGTTCAAATCCCACACAGCTGAAGATTGTTCTTGCTTTCAAGAAAAGAAACCTCTTAAGTGCAATATCGAAGAGAAGAATTTTATAACCTTATTTTGCAAAGCAAGAAAATTGATCTGAAATGTTTGTCCTCAGCTGTAGGCCTCTGTCTTCCAGAGAATGTCCTTTGTACTTAATCAGTCCAAAAATATGAAGGTAACAAAATTAAGCATCATAGAAATGCTTACCTGTAGGATTATGTCGTATGAAGAATACAAATGGTCTGTCCACTACAAACCAAGGAGGCGATGATCTGGCTATTAATATTGCAGCTTGGACAAAAAAAAAAAAAGGTACAGTAATACTCAGTCACCCTATGGCTTTAAATCCATACAATCTGAATTCAACTAATTGTTTGTTTTTCTATTTATTAAATTTGTATAAAAGCAGTCTATTAGCACAATGCTTTCTTAAGCAGCATCTCGGGGGACTGAAGATGTAGTCCTGTAGTGATGCCCGTAAGCCCCTCAACACAGAAGCTTATGGTTATCCAACACAAAGTGGGAGAAATTGGAGGAAGGAATCTCTGCTTCCCACCCTGCATTTTCACTGGGTTGCTTTTTGCTTGTCTAGCTGGAGAATTTCAGAGATGGCAGGAAGAAGTCTGAAGAGGTGTCAGGACAGTTTCTGCATTGGAATGGCCCACTGCCCCCACTTTCACAACTGAGAGAGCAGGCAGCACAGTTCCTTCCATTCCACTCCTAGCTAAGGGACTGGGTGCAGGGAGATCAGAGAACTGTCTCCAACCTCAAGTCTTAGAAGAGGAAACATCCTATGGCCTCTCAGACATTGCCTAAGGAGCCACAAGATTGCTCCCTTAATATATTGTTAAATGGTGTTTTGGTTAGGGCAAACTATCACAACTTGGGAATGCTGCAGTCCAATGGCTATTGAGTATTATATTTCTCAGGTCAGTGTCCAAACACCACTGCTTTAAGACTTAATTTTCTCTTGTGAAGGAATGGTATATCCATTCAGGACTGGGATAATCACGTAGAATTAGTCAAGTTACTCTAGTGTGGATATTCTATTTCACTTTAAATTTACAATTTTAATTGTCAAACTTGTTACAGTACATGCAGAAATGTTAGACATTACTGGTGGTATAAACTAAACAATTAAATGCTTACTTGTTGCTGCAGAAGCTTTGGTTCCATCTTCACTCACTTCAATTTTTGCTTTTTGCAAGATCTGAGATACATGAATGCTTTCTGTTCCTGTTGTAGTCAAATACAAAACAGATACATAAATTGGTACATATATACATAGTCATATTTCTTTATTTATTTATTTATTAAAACATTTTTATGCCGCCCCATTCGCCAAAGCCTCGGGGCGGCTTACAACAAACAAGTTAAGTAACATTTAACATTACATTCCTCGAAAGAAAAAAAATGCTTTTAATGGGGGAACTGCAGAGCAAGTTGATTCAATAAAAGTCTTGACTGCTATTAAGATGTATTAAAATTGTCCCAAGAGATTGATCACATATCAATAAACTTTACATTGTTTATAGCACCTCCAATAACAGCTCTCTTAAGTGTTAGTCAAAAGGAAATGCAAATAAAATAATACAGAAAGTAGAAGGTAGTAGTACCTAAAAATGAATGGAAAACAATTAACACAACTGAAATTATACCTAAAGTCTAGCAGATATGTATATGTTTGTTGTCGTTATGGCACCAGGCAAAAAAGTAAACATCAGGCAAATGTCTCCGAAGAGAAAATATGCCATAATCGGTGTCACACTGAGAAGGCTCCCTCCCTTATATTCAGCTATTTCACTTCAAACAGCAATAGCACCTGTAGGAAGCCCTGTTGAAGATATCAAATCTATTACTACGCCCATAAGGGTATAAGTCCACCCCCCACCACCCAAATATCCTAGTTCAGTACTACAATGAGTTTTAAAGACCAAAGCTAGCATCTGAATAAAAAAAAGGTCCTCTTGCCTATCTTCCCCTCTGCAGTCTCAAATCTATTCTGAGGAGCGTCCCTTTAAAACAAATTTTGGGGGAGCAGGGGTGGAGGAGTGAGGGGTAAAGTTCCCCCAATCCTCATTTTAAGGATTGCCATTACACAGGTTGGTTTCTAAACTTTTGGTTCTTCTGTAACAAATATTTTGCACAGTAGTCACTTATAAAACAGCCAGGAAATACTACTGTAGATTATACAGCAGACTTCCCCAATGTGATACTCTTCAAATCTTTTGGCTACAACTCTCATTAGCCACTGGAAGCATGATCGATGGTTAGGGATGATGGGAGTTGTAGCCCAAAGTATCTGGAGGCGGTCACAAAACAAGTCACTATGAAGTCAGCTTTTAGTGAAAAGTGACAAAGCCAAAGTTTCATTTCTACAGATCTCTAGTTCTAGATCTAAAAACAAGATATTCCAAGGGTAACTTACTTGTTATTTTTGCAAAGTTTGCCTTCGACTGTTCAAACATATCTCGAATGCCAAGCTCTTTTAGAGGTTCCTTTAAATCCGTTTCTGCTTCTGCTATAAACCTGACAGGAGTAACAGAAACATATTCATGTAAAACTAAATTTAGCGTGTAATTGATAGATTTTTCAACAGGGATTTGCCAGAATCAAGTAAAGTGAGTGGGGAAATTACATACTTGGGTAAAATAACCTGCACTCTCTTTTGTACCATAGTTGTCATCCAGCTCTGTATAGTTTTCGTGCTAATGTGAGGAATAATAGCAGACAAAGGAGTTGTACTTTCTGTGGGCAGGGCAATCAACATGCTGATACTTTCACCATGATATGGCAATTCAATAATATTGTACCACAAGTCGTTGGGAGTGCTTGTTGTACCTGAGAAAGAAATGAAAAAATGTATAAATAAATTTTTTATACCACCCAATAGCTGAACTCTCTGGGCAGCTTGCAACAATACATAAAAATCCAATATAAAACACAAACAGCATTGAAAACATAATTAAAAGGTTTTTATACAAATTTTTAAACCAAATTACAACATTTATAGTTACAAGAGCCTATATAAATTACATAAGCTGTTTAGGCAGCTAACAAAGCCTCAGTAAACTAATTAAATGCCCTGTGACAGAGGGTAGTCTTAACCTGGCACAGAAAGGATACTAAAGGTAGTGCCAGCCAGGCCTCGGCATATATAACAACAGGGAGTGCTTGTTGGCAAGAGTAAACAAATGAATTTGGGTGACAGACATTTTAGGTAGTAGGAAGGGGAAAAAACGTATCTACCTGCCATTAGGACAAACTCTTTTCTCTGGATTAAAGAGGACATTACTTTCATATAGAAGTAGTGAAGTCTTTAGCAGAGTCTTCAGAATCAAGTGAAGTGTGGGACATTTTATGCAAACGTTAAGGAAGAGCAGATTACTTTTATTTTGTATCCCAAAAAAGAAGAGATCAGAAATATGTTATAGAGAAGGATTGTTATAGTGCTTTGTCTGGACAGGGATTGATGTTAATACTGTAAGAAGATTTAACTGGCCTGAAGATCATGCATAGGAATTAAATGTTCAATAGTATCATCAGATGGGAAAAAAGAGAAAAAAACACAGAGGATCTACTCTTGATTTAGTATTTTAAGTGGCATTCCATGAACATTCAGTTAAGACTCTTTTGCATGATAAATTAACTGGTTTGGCTAAGAAAAACAACAATACTGTATTTCAGTGTATGCAAAATACTTTTCCGGCAGTATTACAACGTTCTAGCAAAGGTTTCCATTCTCAAACATTGCTAGCTTAACATTGGTCTTAACTAGATCCATGTTACTGGAAAAAACAGAAATTTAGAAACTAGTTCCCACACAGCTACAACAGGAAAAAAAGACTCATTTGCTATTCAAGGGTATCCAAGAATTATAATGCAGCAGCAACAGTTGGAATAGAAAGGTCAGGGTTTAACAGAAGCTACTAAATCAGGACAATTATAGTAGCCTGATTGGATTTTATGCTAGCAATAGTTAACTGAAGTACCTTAATGATAAGTTAGTGTTCGAAAGATGAAGAACTCATCTAAAATGCCTGAGAAAGCATTTTATATCTAAGACAGGCCATAGCTGAAATGATTCCATGGTTGTCCCGCATGAGCAGGAGAGAAGGGTGCACTACCATTTATACTTTATCATAAGATGAGTCATGCTGGGTAAGATGACAGGTCCATATAGTACAGCATTCTGTTACCATGATCACCAACCTGCTGCTCATGAGAACCCACAAAGAGGATTTGTGCAATAGCATCCCCCTGCCCATGTTCCCAGCAATCAGTGTACACAGGCATACTACCTCAATATTGTAGGTAGCATACACTGCAGCAACAGGTGGCTTTCTCCTACATAAATTTGTCCAGGTCCTTTTCAAATCTGTCCAAATTGGTAGCTATCACTACAACTCATGGAAGTGAATTCTAGTTTCACTATGTACTGTATGACGAAGGACTTCCTGTTATCTTTCCTGAATCTGCTACCAATAATCTTCATGAAATGACTCCAGGTTCCAACTTACTTACTTTTCTTCCAAAGTAATCCCACATACTGTAACCTTTTCTCATAGGAAAGTTGCTCCTAATTCCAAACTATTTATGAATCATCAACAGTGGGAGTCAATAGTGAGATTCCAAAGATTGTTTCTCAATACCAAGAAGAAGGGAAGACTTCCTACAGAATTTTTAGTTTTCAGTATGTTTAAGCATTTCTATTCTTCTTTTACTAATTTCTCTCAGTAAACAGGCTTCTATACATTCAAGCAGTATTAAAATGTTGGCTTTATACTGTGTGAAACCTTTTACACTGGTAAACTAGTAATAACATCAGATTCAACTGGAACATATGAAAAGCTACTAGTAATTTTATTTAACCTACAATTAGCTGTGAGAGGCACATGGCATATCCAACCAACACTCAGGGATTGTTGTATCATGCATAACCTGTTTACTGGGTTTGCAAGTTTTAAACAATGCTCATATAACCCATGATCTGTTCTAGGATTACTTTTATTGTTTAGCTCTTGCATAACCCATGCTTTTCAGGTTCACATGATGCAAGAATCTCCGAGCAGGTATTGAATATGAAAGAGAACTATTGCATATGCACAGTGGGTTATCCACTTTTTCAGATTTGTTCTCTCCCACTTGCCCTTGAAATCATACTTTTGAGTATCTTGTGGAAACTGAAACTAGTTGTGATGAGTAAGACTTACTTCCTCTGGTCAAGTTTGCACATGAGTAGTTATGCAATATAGCTCAGAAGCAGAGAGCATATGGATGCCTTACATGTAGAACCCCCCCCCCCCGATTCAAGCGCTGGCATTTTTGGTTTAAAAGAAACAGAACACAGATGATGAGGAAGACTTTTGCCTGTAGTCTAGGAAATGCTGTTGCCAGAGAACACATTACTGAGCTAGATACACATGTACTCTGATCTGGCAGAAAGCAGTTTTTCAGTGTAACCTGAATATTTGTACTTTCCCACGTGGCTCTTATCCCTATTTGCTCAGAAGTACCAAATCAGTTTACAAATATTTACTAGAATGAACTAGTAATTCAGTCCAAATCCTAACAAGAATGTACCAAGAAATATTGATGACAAAACAATGGCCCACAGACTGGAAGTGTTTGATATGCATTCCAGTCCCCAAGAAAGGAGAGGCTAAAGAATACAGCAACTACAGGAACACTGTACTAATTTCCCATACAGATGAAGTGATGCTCAATGGGTTCAACAAGAATTTTACACCATAAAGAGTAAGAAATGCCTGACATTAAAGCCAGATTTTGAAAAAGAAGAGGCACTCAAGATCGTATCACAAATACACACTGGCTATTGGAGCACATCAAAGAATTTCAAAGAAATATGCTTTATAGACTACAGCAAAGCCTTTGACTGTGCAGATCATGAGAAGTTATGGTTACTCCTGAAACAAATGGCTGAGCCTCAGTTTTGATTGTCTGGATGCAAACCTGTATCATGCACAGGAAGCTACTGTTACGACAGAATATGGAGTGGTTTCCTATAGGCAACGGTGCCAGATAAGGGTCTATTTTATCTTCCTGTCTGTTCAATCTGTGCACAGAATATCTAATAAAGATGGATTAGGATCAGAGAAAGCAGTTGTAAAAACTGGCAAGACACATCAATGACTTAAGATACATAGATGATACCATATTACTAGCAAAAAAGCAGCAGCAAATTGAAATTACTCCTGATGAAAATGAAATAAGGAAATACAAAATAACTACAGCTGAACAGTAAGAAAACAAAAGTCATGACTACAGAAGAGTTATACAAATTTAATGTCAACAATGAAACTGAAATTGTGAAGGATTTTGTATACCTTGGCTCAGTCAAATAGAGACTGTAGCCAAGAAATCAGAAGACTAAGACTCTGAAAGGCAATAGTGAAGGAACTTCACATCAAGTTAAGGACACTTCACTGGAAACCAAGGCCAAGGTCATCTACTCCCAATCACTATGGCTGGGTGTGAAAGCTGGAGTGTGAAGAAAGCTGACAGGAAGAAAATAGATGCGTTAGAAGCACAGTGCTACAGAAGAGCTTTGAAAATAACCTGGACTAAGAGAAAGTGAGCCTTAAATGAAAAAAATCCAGAACTTTTCCCTGGAAGTAATGACAAAACTGAAGCTGTTACACTTTGGACACATCATGGAAGGCAAGGCACACCAGAGGGGTCAAATCATACTAGGTAAAGTTGAAGGCAGAAGACAAAAAGGATGGATTGACTCTATAAAGGAAGCCACAGCCTTGAGTTTACAAGAGTGGAGCAAGGCTGTCAAGGGAAGGACATCTTGAAGAACATTCATTCACAAGGTCAATCTAAGTCAGAGACCACTGGACAGGATGTAATGAACAATAAAATTCAAAGGTCAATTCTGCCATACAATGTATCTTCAATTAATAGCCATTGCTTGAGTTAAGCAGTCATGTTTTTAAATAAAGGTATATTTTATAATTAATTAAAAGCTTTCTAATTAAGACTTTTTTTTATTTTTGTTTTAAACATACCACATCGGAACACTGACAACTGAGCAAGCATAGGCACTTGGTAAGTCTTTCCATCAGCTCCATTAAATGTTCTCTTTTTTGTGTTCTCTGGCTGAAAACGCGATTTCCACAGTCCCTTAAAGTATACTGCATTTACCAGCAATAATCTGGTTAGCTCAGTATCAATAACATCTGGAGATAAGACATTGTCGATCATACCTGAAAAGTACAAAAGAAAAATTTTTACATTCCCAGGACAAACAACAAGCTGTGTTAATAATAGCTGAAGCAAAATTCAAAGCAACAGAATCAAGAGGAGAACCAATAAGTAAGAATGTTCTAGTGCACTGAGTAAGGTGAGCATAAGATTGATATGTATGTGTATCAATAAGACTCCAAACTGTTGTCTTCTTCCTCAGAAAGGAACGCAAAAGATTTAATAAAGCAGGGCTAGGTCTACCAACACCTGAGTATCTGCCAAATTCTCTTCCTAACTTACATGAGATTTTGCCTGGACAGAACTAATTGAAATACTGTTCACCTGATTCTAAAAAAAATCACTTTCCCATAGACTTTACTTTGCTTCTGGAGAAACCCCAAGTACACTAATTTCAGGATTAGCATGTGCCAAGGTTTTGAAATCACCAGGCACCAAGACCTCAAAGATTCAAACATTCAGCCTCCTCTGGAATTTCCTACTCCCAAATTTTAGGGCATGTTAACTGTATTTAACTTTTCTATTAATATTTTATTTGATTTTCAACAGCAATATATATTTAGTTGAATTATCAAAACTGAGTTTATAAACAGTTTATATCAAAATGAATTATCAAAACTCTGAGTTTATAAACAGGAAATAAACGTGTCACAATCACATTCAGTCCTCTCACCAGCTCACATACCACACACATCTGGCTTTTTCCCCCTTTGAAATGTATAATGAAAGATTTTGTGTTGATACAGGTAACAAAGGAGATTTCTATTGTGAAGTCAGCTTCCTTGGCTGAAGATTATTTTCTTGGCTGAAAATAATCAAGTAAGGGAATAGCAAGCAAACGCCATTACTGCAATCTCACACAGAATGGAAGGTCAAACACTTAGAGAATGAGATGTGATGTTTATTGCAACTCATAGCTTGATTTGACACATTTAGTAATAAGTATTCACAAGACAGGGTGTATCCAAAATAATAGGAATTCTTCTCTTTGTTTTTTAAAGTTGAGATTATCTTAGCATTTGGAATAGTAGGTCAAAAAGAATAAGCGAGCCAACAGCAGGAGAGCACAGGGGACACTCTAGAACAGTGGTTGCGAACCTTTGGAACTTTAGCCCCGTATTAGGGTTAGGGTTGTGTACCAGGGTAGGGTTAGGGTTAGAAAAATGAGGTCTCCTGGCATGATTTTGATGGTTGGAATGTGTTTAGAATGGGCAGACATGATGAGCAGAGCAGAAAAAACTACTCAAGGTAGGCTTTTTTAAAATCACATTATTTTCAATGGTATTTTAGCCTTATATTAGAGTTAGGGGTGTGCACCAGGATAGGGTTAGGGTTAGAAAAATGAGCTGTCCTGGCATCATTTTGATGGCTGGAATGTGCTTAGAATGGGATGAAATGATGAGCTGTGCTGAAAAAGCTACTCAAGGAAGGCTTTTTCAAAATCATCCTCTTTTCTATGGAACTTTAGCCGTGTATTAGGGTTAGAGGTGTGCACCAGGGTAGGGTTAGGGCAGTGGTGGTAAACCTATGGCATGCTTGCCACAGCAGACATGCAAACCAAGTCGCACCAGCATCACTCCAGCAGCCAAGCATTGGGTAACAGCACACATAGGGGCCACGCGCATGCTCGGAAAGGAGTAGTGGTGCCAGGCGATGATGTCACGAGCCATGACTCATTAGCTGCAACTCATCTGAGCTTTCGCATGGCCAGTCAGTCCGCTGCAAAGGATATATATATTTGCTTGGACTAGCTGTGAGTTGTTTTTTCTAAACTAAAACCGCAGTTTTCAGGTTTTATTGTAGTGTTGGCACTTTGTGATAAGTGGGTTTTGGGTTGTAGTTTGGGCACTCGGTCTCTAAAAGGTTCACCTTTTATCTATCTATCTTTCTACACAATCAGTCTACATGGTGTATTATTTATTTAAAACTTATTAATCCCATCCTACACATAAAAGTTTCAGGACAGTCCAACAACAAAGGCACAGCATCACATCTATATAAAAGCCCAATTAAAATAGGAATTAGGTCTTAAAATAATGGGAAAATAAATGGGTATTAGAGTAACCATTTCAAAAGAGATTAGTCCCTTTTCCAAGCAGCTTATATCTCAATTCTACCAGTAGGGGAGAAAAAAAGAAAAGGCTAACAACTAGGGAAGGATTAGAAGAGAATAAGGCAACAAGGACAATAATTTAGCCATTACTTAGTTATCATCACGTACCCTTAGTTTCATTTTTTACCCACTGGTTGATAGTATCAGAGGCAGTGGCCTGGTCCTCAAAGTCGATGCCTTTGACACTGCACTGAAACACTTCATTGTTTCTTGAAACAAAGGGCACTTCCATTTTCAAGCCCCTTTTTGCAAAGACTGCATTTGCAATTGTCACAACATCTTTATTCTTCTTTGAAACGATGGCTTTGTTTATCTTCTTCAGTACTTTACCAACTCCTAAAAATAACAATCAAATATTATATGTAACATAAAATGCTTAACATGCTTTTTCTTAAAATAAGTAGTGGTACGCATCAAAGGCTGAACTCAAATTTGAAATAATGAATAGTCAATACAAGAGTCATCTTGACTAACAGGTGGTATAGAAAACAAACAAAGTGGTAACAGTGATAGTAATGAAATTACATGCTGCTGTCTGCTTCCGACAGGCGTTTGACTGACCACTGAACAGAATGCTGGACTAGAAAGAACTTTCGTCTTGACTTTTATGTTCTCAATTTCCAAAGGAATGACCATGTTAGTCTGCTGCAGCAAGAACAACTATTCCTAAGTAAGAATTAACTAATTTAATATGGCATATTTTTATTGCCTAAGGCTAGTTTATGAAATGTATGAAGTGTCCTAACTAAACCCTGAAGCATGTTTACTCAAAAGCAAGTTCCAGTTATTTCAATAGCATCTAATTTCCACTAAGTTTGTTTAAGAGATTCCAGAGCCAAGTAAAAATTAGGCATCCTGGAATATGCCACCCACAAACCTAATGAAGCAAACCCTTTTTAACTGGGAGCACTAAAACTGCAGATTTCTAATATTACTTACCCCCCTCCCCCCAGTGCTGAAGCACTATATTGAGACAAGAGAACAATCAAATTTGGCGCCAGGCGAAGACCTTTTTATTCAAATGTTATTTTAATTGTTAATATTATTTATTCATTTTATTCTTTGGCCAGGGCGACTTAATTTATATTAATTTATATTATTCTATTATGAAGTTTATTTATGGTTGAGAGCCGCCCCGAGGCTTCGGCGAATGGGGTGGCATAGAAGTCTCCTAAATAAATAAATAAACAACAAACAAACAGATGGGGATCTGTGGGAGAGATAATACAGCCTTGGGAGAGTCACCAAATGCTGGAGAACTTGAAGCCAGCTTTCCTAGATCCACCACTTTGGCCACAGCACATGGATTCCCAAAACAATCTTGGGACAAAGAGGGCCCTGACCACTGTCACCAGTGATTCATGTAGGTACTCAGTTCTGTGGACAACTGGTAAAACTGGGTTGTGATATGTTGCTAACAACCCGGTTTGCTAAATTGCATTAAAAGGCAGCTTGAGACACTGCGCTACTGTAAGAACAACTGCTATTCCCTCTGTGAATGTATTATGCTCTCCAGAGATATAACACAAACTGGGTGAGTATTCAAGAGGTAAAAGTACTCAAAACATTTGCAGAGATGAAAATGATTTGTTTCATCTCCAATGTGTGTCATCTTGTCTGGTCTATTTTCTTGTATGTTACAGTTACCTCAAGGAATGGAAAAATGGAGTAGGTAACATGCACAAGAGTTAATAAGGGAAAATAATGGACCCTCGTCCCTTTTTTCGTGGCTCCTTTTTGGAGTACTTACTGCTGTGGTTACTGCAATTACTGACAGTTCTAAAACAAAAGAATACAAAACTGAGAAGACAGTTGAATGGAATGGAATAGATTGGACTTCCCTTGCAGGGAAGTAGATGCAAGTACTTGTGTTCTGCAACCTATAAGAGTTGTGGCAGGGCTTTAACCTGTTTGTAATACTCACACAATTTGGGGGACTGAGAAATATACAGTGGTACCTTGGCTCACGAACTTAATCTGTTCCAGGACTCTGGTCATGACCCAAATTGCTCGTGAGCCAAGTTAAATTTCCCCATAAGGTTCAATGTAAATAAGGTTAATCTGTTCTGTAACTATTTTTTAAATCAGGAAAATGTAAAGCAAAGTGACAAAGAACAACAAAGATCGTGGCCATCTCCCCACCCCACCCCGAGCACAGCCATCTCCTCACCCCTCCCTCCCAGCACGACCATGATCGTGCCTGTCATCCCTGCATGCGCCCGTCATCCTGGCGCTCTGGAGAGAGGGAGACAGGTGCAAACACAGGTGCTCTACTCTGCATTAGTCAGACCTCATCTGGAATACAGCGTTCAGTTTTGGGCACCCAGGTTTAAAAAGGATGCTGATAATCTGGAGAGGATTCAAAGGAGGGCAACAAAGATGATATGGGGCATGGAAAATAAGTCTTATGATGACAGGCTGAAAGAACTGGGTCTGTTCAGCCTTGAGAAAAAAATACAAGGTGACATGATAGCACTTGATAGGTACCTCAAAGGCTGTCACAAAGAAGGAAAAGAATTCTTCACCCGAGTGTAGAACATACAACAATGTACTTGAACTACAGAACACCAGGTACAGGCTAGACACAAGGAAAAACTTCCTAATGCCACTCTTTTGATGTATTTTCTTTTGTTACTTAATCTCCCTTTTCTGCTAAATTTCAATTGAGAGCTTGGCAACTGGTCCCTGGCAACCATGCACTAATTAGCCTATAGGCAGTCTCACCTTGTCAATTTCCATATATTCTATTTACTCCACTTTGCAACTCCCTTTGACAGCGGAAGCACACAAAAAAAATTGACCAGGCAAGACTACACATGTGAGACAGGTGAAAGTTTGCTATTCCTGGCAGTAGCAAAGATGAGATTGCAAACAGCAGCAGGGGGGTTTGCCCCGCTTACCAGGAGGCTCATTAACCATGTGAAATGTTTCTCCTTGGTTCAAATTATATAGCAACCTAGAACAAGCCATGGATTCTCAGGTTGGCTTGTTGCCAGGAATAAAGCTCCCTGCAAGCAGTGGTCTGGATTTGGATGGCAGAACTTTCCATGCCTAGTTCATTGATACGGAACAGCACTGAAAGATCCAAAGTGATAGAGCCAAACAAATTGTGGATTTAATTTGTTGCGGATTTAATTTGTTGCTAAATACAAGGATATGTTAATGAACATCTGACATCATGTATGAGAGGCTGACAATCCCACATAAAGAGGCATTTTATGTTTCCTGAACAGTCCTAACAATGAAACTCCATCATATTTGCTTTGAAAACAAGAGGATAGTCCTTGTTAAACTCACTGCTGGACAAGGATGCCATCTGGTAAGAGAGACAGTGCTTCACTGCCACTTATTTAATATGCATTAGACAAAGATAACTGGTTAGTGTTTTCAAATACAGTAGCTAGTGTCCATACAATAGAATCCTTTGTATGCTTATGGTAAATTACAGTATAGGTGAGATAGAGACTGTTACAAAAATCTCCAGACCCTGCAAAAATAGTATGGAAGAACTAACCATTTACACTGTATCTCATCACTGTTGTCAGCTGCTTTTTTGTCTTGCCATCAGCTCCTAACTGAAGCATTCCAAGTATTGATGCAATTCCATGGGGAGAAACCACAACGTTATCCTTAGATCTGGTTTTGACCAGTTGATTGAAAACTTGGATTCCAATGTCTGAGCCAAGTTCCTCAAGAGACAGAGGATTTGGTGGGAAGCACATACATGTTGAAGTAAGGGCAATGAAGAGGAGAGAGAAGTGCCAGTTCATGGTTCCCCAGCTCAATGTAACCTATAAAACAAAAAAACAAACACACACATATACAAAGTTAAAGAATGGTCAAAAGCATGCCAGTTGTTCATTCATAGGTGCTGCTCACTAGTTTAATGCCATAGTGACCTAGCATGACTTTATCCAGCTCCATAAATTCAGACCACAAATGCAGCACCGTTATACCTTGAGCCTTTCACAAAACAAAATGTGGCCACTATATCCAGACAAGATCCCAGTAGGGAATAAAATAAGTCTGAATTCAGTACATGGAAGACTTAAGTCTCCAAGATCTAAAGCTGGAAATAGCACTCAGGATTCCACAATACCATACTATATATGGTAGTATAATCATTCTGTTTTTAAGCATACCTATTCCTCATGCAGGTTATATGTGCCATTTTGTATAAGAAACACTTTTTCAACAGCATAGTAATAGAGAAACAAAATTTTCCTTGTTAATCTAGGTTTGTATATTAGTCAAAGCCTACTCATATTATTTTTATAATTTTATTATCTGGGCCCAAATCCCAGAAAAAAAATATTTTACTCTTGAAACATATGGCCTAGTAGGAGTCAATCAGATGCTGGACTTTATACCTTGCATTCTGGTGGCTCAAATGCGTTGGAAGCTTCAGTATTTTCGTTTTACATAATCTAACTTCTGAACACTGGGTGCATTAACATGTTACTCTAACCCAACCTAACAATAAGCTACGGTGGATTGGTTGTTCAGCCCTCCCTGTATCATTCAAAATTGAGTGATTTAGCCTGATTGTGAATCTGGCAGTGAAATGAGATGCAAGGAACATGGAAAAATGTGAACTACCCATGTTGCTCCAGTTCCTTTTAAAAAGATTTGTTGGTGTTGGTGGTGCCGTTGTTGTTTTAGACAGGCTCCCTACAATGATTTCATAGGATCATATGCACCAGTTAGAGTTGAAAAATTGTTGATCATTCTTAGAACAATACCACCACCATAGAATACTAGAGCCAGAAATGCAATGGAAGGAGCCAGAAAGCCACTGGGCCCAACCTCCTGCTCAGTGCAGAACACCAATATCCCTTCTCAGGTAGATATCCAGCCATCACTAAACACTGTGATCGCCCTTAGGACAGTGGGACCTGACAAGGTAAGAAACCCAGTCAGTATGCCTGAAGAAGGTCCATTTGTATTCTTGATACTTTTGTATTATTTTCCTTGGTATCCCTCACAATTTAGCATGTAGCTCTGTGAACGATAAACAAGAGCTTGGGATGGGCCTCATTCAGCTATAGGCATCTTCTGCTTCTCACTTTATTTCTGCCATGAGGCTGTTATTGACGTTTGCTTTCTCTCCATCTCAAAATCTTGGAAAATTTTCTAAATCAATTCTATTGAGTTTAATGCAGCACATTGCAGCCAAAGTTTATTTGATCGGCATGCCCCTTCCGTCCATCCTTAATTGCCTTATGTTGAAGAGAAAATGCCTCCTTTGCTCACTGCAATCTATGCTGCCCAATGCTTCACTCCCTCTCCCACCAGTACAGCATTCACATGCCACTCGATGTGGAAATGCTCCATGGAATGCCAGACGCTAAGGAGGTGAAGCAAAGTAAGGAGCTAGCGAAGGAAAGTCTTCTAAAAATAGGCATCGTCTTTTGTCCTAGACTCCTGGCACAGCTGCCACACTATGCAATGAGCGGGCACAGAAACAGAACAACTCCAAACTACCTACTGTTGCAAATGTGCAAATACAGTAACGCCCCAAGCCCACAGATGGGTTGAGTTAAATACTAAATTAAGCCATAATTTCACCCTTCTATTTCAGATTCAAGAAGGAAAAGCACTCAGGAAATTAGAGGTCCAATAGAGCTGATAACAAAGGATGTTCTGCCTTTTTACCGTATCTGAGAATGGAGGCATTTTGCTCATGGGAAAAAAATAACTCATGCAATACCATTATAGAAACCCTTTTTTCCTCCATAATTGACTATGCCAATGTTTCCTAAACATGGTGTGGGTGGGCTCTTCTAGGGTGATATGAAGCATCAGAAGAAAATTGTAGTAGGGGGCAAGGAGGGAAGGAAAAAGGAAAACTGTTGCACAGCTTATTGATAAGAGATCTAGGGAGCAATCCTATGGTCCCCTGACTGCATCAGGGGTGGGAGCACAGTGTACTTCAGATTCCCAGCTCCAAGGTCAGACCCTGTACACTGGCCTCAGAGCTGGGGATCAGAACTCCACCCCTGAATTGACAGCATGGAAACATCCACACCCGTTTTTCTCTTAAGGTGAGGAAACCAACCTTGGAGAGAGTAAAAAGAGGGTGGGGAAGGGAGGATGGAATAGCCAAGAACAGTCATCGAATGGAAATACAGAGTGGCAGATGGCCTCTGCCAGACTTCCTGCTTTGCACTAGATAAATGTAAACTTCCAACTTCATTAGCTTATGCTTGTCTCCATAGGACTTTGCCCTTAGGGTGCAATCCAGTGTATCCTTAGACAGAAAAAAGTCTTAGAGCTCCCAGCATTCCCCAACTAGCATGACTGGCCTAACAGATTAACCTTTCCTAAAGTGCTGACTGAAACAAATGATTGCTGAGGCAAGTAGCAAGTCCCATGTACATTTCACACCCACCCACATTTGCATGAGAGCTGCTTTCCCAGTCACGCTAGATGCTGACTGCATGGAAATACCCACTTCCAATGTGTGCCCCCAGTTTCATCATTCAGAAGCAGCTCCAGCTGTGCTGTAGTAGTCAGTGTTGCTACTGCCAGATATAAAAATTATGCTAGGGGCTTGTTTTTCCTTCAGATGTAAAATGTATGAATCTTTCATTTTTCGGCTGGCACGCTACAGATATGGGATTGAGACAAAAAGGCTTTGTGAGAGCCTTTCCCAAAAACTCTATCATATGACATGATAAATTTATTAGGAATTCAATAATTTCAAACATATACACTTGATGCTACAATATGAAATGTGTTACTAATACTGTCACACTTCTATCTAGTATAGGGTAGCAGCATGTAGCACAAAGAGGAGCCAATCTAACATTTACACTAGAGAGTGTTCTCCTATGAATACTGAAAGTAATAAAAATGCCTACAATTGGTTTGCTCATATATGCCCAGGGATATTTGTTTGCCCAAAATGCCCTTATAAATGAAGCAAGCAACAGTGGGCCGACATGTAGATGAAGGTGTCAAATACATTCTTGCCTGCTCAAGGAATGCCCCGCTTTAGTGTAAAACTTATTTTTAATACATTTGGAAGAGTTTCCTATTTCCTAATTATAGTTTTAGCAAATCTTCAGAATACTCACTGGTTTTTTTCCAAGTTCTAGTAAGATTAGATCTGAAACTGCCATCCTTCCAACACTTTGAAAAGAGGAACAGGGACCTGGTCTATTATATTCAGTAAACAGAAACTAAACATTAAGATACATATCTGGTCACTAGAAACAAAACAAAGCCTGAAAAAACTGCAGACAATGTATCATGAAAAAAACTTCCAAACACATTTGATCATGCTTAGCTAAAAGAGTTAACTGCAGCTACAGAGTGTACTTTAAAGCTGGTCTTACCTTTGCCTTCCTTTATTGCTTACATTAGGTTCACATAGAATAATTGAAGACATTTATATCCAGGAATAAAGAGACAACAAACTATTTGTAAGCTTTTAGTACAGGGTTTAGGTTAGAGAGAAAAATCTTTCACTCAAGATTCTGGGGTTGCTTCTCCATTCACATAAGGCTGTGAATTCTCATTCCATCAGCACCCCCTGCCCCTTATCCTATGTTTCACAAATTCCAAATTTTGGAGGCACAGGATGCTCCAAAGGACAGTGGGGTGTAGGAAAGCCCAATTTGGCAAACTGCCTCGTTAAGGGAAGAAACCAAGTCATTGTTTTTGTTGAAAGAGGCTGGAGTAAGAAGCCTCCAGACACCCCCACATGTCCAGACACCCTTCTAGGTGCTGAAATGTGCTTGGAGGAGAACTTAGCACAACTCATTCTTGGACTCACTCTTCTAGTTTCCTTGTTCCATTCTTATTCAGAGTATTCAAACCTTAAAGTCTATATATTTAGCACTCCTATGATATGACTCCTGTAGCTCTTTTTTTCCTTCACTATCTTACCATTCTTACCCTTACAAGAACAAGTGATAACTGATGAATCATTGTATCCCTCTACAGTGCTTCAAGAAACAAATCCTGATTTCTTTTCCAGACAAAAAAATACCAGTACTTATGGATATTCTGAGGAACATTGATCAAGATTTTAGAAATTATAGATTGGTTTTACAAAACAACTTTTTTGAGTGAGTGAAGAGGAAAAAACCTAAAAACCTATCACGCCAACAATGAAAACCTTATGAATAAAAACATGTTGACTGTAGTTTCATTTATCAACAGTGGCTTTTATTCTGAAACTCACACCTAGAATTTTGTGCAACCCCAAATGACTAAGTTCAGTCAAGCATAAGCCACAAACAGCCAAAAACTTCACTGTCTATCTGCAAGCAGCCCATATTGTACTGGGTTGTGAAAGTGCCTCGTGCAGCATGGGCAAAGGCATTGTGCCAAAGTAAGTGTTATTACATGAGGGTGTTTTTTTGGCCTGAGGAAAACAGCTCTGCCCACACAGAAACAGAAGGCACATCAGACTGCTCTTCTGTCAAAGTGGTTGGAACTTCAGCTGAATATATCTTGGCTTGGGCTGTGTACATTTCCACACCAGAACAGAATTCTGCATTTAAGCAATCTAAAAATCTACCACCTGCATAAGTTATGCAAACTGTATAAATCTGCACAGCTTATTCTCTTTTTGCCTAGTTAATCATGATGGGTGGCTTTTAACCATAGATGCCTGTTTTGCCTAGTCAGAAGCCACACATAAACGACAAAAGTCCATGGGTTCTGGGTGGCTTTTAATCCATCGTAATAAGCCAGCCGGGATGGGTTTATAGGGCAGGCTGTACTGATGAAGGTAATTTTACCTCCATAAAATGAGCAATATGTATTTAACAGAATGGGG